GGAGCAGCACATTCCCCTGCGTGGTTTCATGCTCCTGACCCAGGGCGGTGGGCCCAGTCCTAGGGAGAGCGGGCTTCCAGGCGGCTCCTTCACAGACAGCTCACGGCCGGCCGGACACGCCCGGGCGCCTTGCTCCGTGGAACTGGCCGGACTTTGCTCCTTTCATCTACAGAGAAAGGCATGCATTGTCCGTAACTTTCTAAAAGGAATTATTTCAAAAGGAAAAATAACAAAGTAATAAGATCTCACCAGGCTTTCAGCTGCTTCATGAAACCGTGAAAAGACTCATCCTCACATCACTTTCAAACGGGCACAGAGGCCTGGCGGGACCGGTGCCCGGCTGTGATTGCCGCTGGCTGCCCCCACGCCGGGAGGAGGGGCAGGCTACGCCCCAGAGCTAAGGAGCATTTCAGGAGAGCCGGACCCAGCCAGCCCCCGATTTGGTCATCAGTGACCCTTCTGCCCGGTCAGCCTGGGAGCCAGCCGCTTCTTAGCGTTAACACACATCTCCACTTTATTCTAAGGTTCACTCCCCTCAAAAGGCGAAGACTTGGGTTTCCCGCTTGGAAAACCCCAGATGGGAGAGATGGCACAGACGCCACACTCACCTGCCCGACGTCTCCATTCACACGTCGGCATGTGGCGCCCTCTGACCAGGGGGTGGGTCAGGGCAGCGTGGCCCCTGTCCAGGTGAGCCCCTCAGTGGCAGTGACTGAGGGCACAGGAGCCCTGGGAGCTGCTGCTCAGCAAGTGAAAAAGGAGCTTGACCGCTGGTGACCTCATCTGAGGCCAGCGCTTCCAGAATTCTCTGGGGCCGAGAGCCAATACTTCTGTCCCATTTAGGCCCGTTTGCATCTGGGCTGTTCACTGAAGCGTTGATTCACAGCAGCCCCCGCCCCCTTGAAATTCAAACACATCTTGGACTCTTAAAAGGGCAGAACTTACAACTATTATCATCATGAAAAGGACCAACAACTGTCCACCAAGAGGCCTGGCTGCAGAGGCCTGGTGGCTTCCTCTCTGGCAGGAGGCCTGCACGTCCGGAAAAAGGGACACAAAGTCGGCGATACCAAAAGCCCGCTGTGCCACCACTGAGTGGCGGGGTCTGCCCCCTGCCCCCACCAAAGGGAGAACAGGGAGTGAAATCACAGGGTGCAGAGAAGCGGGGCAGGGGGCTTCCGGTCAAAATGAAGCAGCATTTTGATTGGTGCAAAGTGACGGGGCCCTGGGAGTCGCCAGCTTGGACACCGCGAAGCTGAGAACAGTGCAGGGTGGGAGCCTGGCCGGTGGGTGTGAAGCCCAGCTCCCCATGGGAGCCCTGGGACGGAGCTGTGGGGTGTTTAGGCCTCAGGGGGCAAAGGGATTGTTTTCAGAGTACGAGGGAGGCCAGGATGGGCACGGACCAATCAACCCCCCTGCCCTCCCGCCCAAGGACAGAAACACTCAGAACAAGGCTGAAGCACTTGAGTGCCTCAAGGCAAATGGGGTGCTGGGTGGTACTGGGGCCACAGGGGAGTGGCAAAGACTGAGGGGCGCTGGGGCACAGGGGTGGGGACAGGGGCTCGGCCCGAGAGTGGCCCGGCCCTCCAGCCTGGAGGCAGGATGCACCCCGGGAGCTCAGGCCAAGGTCCGGGGCGGGAGGGGCCCACGCAGGAGCCCACCCGGCACACACCAGGGAGAAACCAGGGCCTGCCATAAGCGGCTGGGTCACACGCTTTCCTCCTGGTGACATGGGCCCACACCCAGGACACAGGGCTGCAGGACCACAGCCAAATCAGGTGGCAAACAGGCCCAGGCACCGTTTGTCCTACATTCGTCATGAGCTCCGACCTGCTCCCCACCAGCCCAGCCAGGGCTGGAGGCCCAATGCTCGGTCAGCCTGTTGTCCACCCCCGCCCCCCACCCCACTGAGCCCTGGGGATGCCAGGCAGGTATTGCAGGTGACAGTAAGCAGGGAAGCGCCTCAGGCAGCGGGCTGCAGGGCTGTGGGTAAAAGGGAGGTGACCTCGAATACCCCTGGCCCAGGATTGGAGCACGGCCGGGCAAAGTGGGCCCGCCTGGGCACGCAGGGAGTTTAGGTCCACCTTCTGCCTTCGTTGACCCTAATGCCCACGCCCCACCCAGCACTCCAGCGTTTTCTACTCCTTTCACTCTCTGGCAAATCTTCCAGAGCAGGGAACTGTCCGGGGGCAGAAAAGAGAAGGAGCCCCTGGATCTTCCGCTCTGGGTCCAGTTCTGAGGAGTGAGACTCAGGAGAGAGAAGGACCCGACACAGGGACCTGGGGCGGGGCACTCAGGGGGCCCAGATGCCCAGCCCTGGCGCAGCCCCCGTGACTCCCGCCCCCCGCGGGCGGGCCGGACCTGACTGGCGCCCGGAGACTGCAGGAGCACAGACTTCAAAGCTGTCTCCGGTCGGCCATGGGACAAGGCAGGGGACTGTGGGCGGCCAGGGAGCTCCGGGTGACCCTGGGTGACAGCCAGCAAGAAAACAGGAACTTCAGACCCACAGGTGCAAAGAACTGAATTCTGCCAATAACCAGTGAGCTGAGAAGGGGACCCTGAGCTTCACATGTGATGGCAGCCTCTCCAGGCTGGGCCCCAACTCTTGGCCGCAAATGCTCGGTCACTGGTCATGTAGCAGAGGCTTCTAATGGGACTGAATCAACACTTGGGACAGAAGGGAGAGGAGAACAGGGGAAAGGGAATGAGGGAGGAGGGGTGACTGCAGTGAGCTGAGCCACCGGGGAGGGCACCTGAAGGCCCAGCATCTAGCTGGACACCGCAAACAACTGGCTGTCACAATTCACAATTCTGCAGTTCAGGTTCCTGAGTGAGACACGTGAAAGGGAGGCCAAGGGGGATCCATGTCACTCCATGTATGCCAGGTCCTGGTGGGGACACAGGCTTGTCCGCGTGAGACACTAGCACTGTGATCCAGGGCCCGCCCCCGCCCCCCACCAAACTGCATGGAGGAGCCACCGGCGGGGCAGCTGGGGCTGGGCCCGCCAGTCCTGAGGACAGGGGTGCAGTCTCCCCGGGGCCTGTCTTCCCTGCGGCGGGAAGTGAGGAACCTGGAGGGAGGCGCCAGAGGTGCCCTCCAGGGCCTGGGCAGCCAGGGAGGGGCCTCGCGACCCTGAGAATCCTCGGGGAGGAAGCCCCAACGTGGGCCTGCTAGGCTGGTGGCAAGAAGCTGCGTCCTCTGAGCCAGCCATAGGGACGTGGGCTACCTGATGGCTGAGCCTGGCGCCGAGGACCCCGGGCCTGTGTCCAGTCTGGGGAGGACAAGATGGGCTGCTGTGCCTGCCAGGCCGGGAGAATGACCAAGCAGTGTCCCCGCCGAACACTCAGAGCCCTGGTCACTCACCAAGGACATAGGGATGGACAGAGCTGGGAGGGCCAGGCTGCAGAGTTCAGCCCCTGGGAGGTGCCTTCAGTCTCCACTCCAGAAAAAGAATAAGACAAGAGGGGGGCGGGGAGTGGAGTTGGCCACTGGGACACCTAGGCCAGGGTGGGACAGCATTTTGACCTCACAGGGAGAGAGGGACTGGAGAGGCTCAGGGCGCCCCCCAGAGGCCAATGGTGGGACTGCACCTGCTCCCTGGGGCCAGGCTCACTTGGGAGTGGATGGGGGAGGTGACAAGGGGAGGGGGTGGGGGCAGCAGCATCCCTGGACTTTCACCCCACCCCCACCCACAGCAAGGGTGGAGGGCTCCACACCAAAAAGGCACCTCCACAGAGGACCCAGTGTGGGGGTAGCACTCATGGAGAGATGACACCCATGGGGGAAATGACACTGTTGGTGGGAATGGGCTCCTTTCAGGTGGCCACCATGGCTCCCAGGCACCTCTTCCATTGGGTGAGAGAGGAAGGGGGTGGGAAGAGGGAGGGAGGTGGACAGCGCTAAGTAGGTAGGCAGATGATAGGGGAGTGATGGGGGGCAGGGTAGGGGCCAGCTACAGAGATGGTCGAATGGACAGAGCAACGTCGCTGTGCGCTCATTTGCAAACCTGCCCACAAGCAGTGCTGCGCGAACAGACTGCCTGCAGCACAACCTGAGTCAACATGTCTGAATGGCCACCAGCTCAGAGCACAGAAACAGCTCAGAAAGGAACGGCGCCACAGGGAACCCCAGTGCCAAAAAAGTGGGCCTCCTCACTTGATGACCAAAGGAACCTCAACAGAAACAACAGATTGTGAGTCGCTTAGAGAATCCCGACGACCCCGCTGCTGCACCCCCTCTTCCCGCCCCCTAACCCTGCCCCGCAGCCAGCCCCACTGGCTCCGCAGCTAGATTGAAAGGAGGTCCACATGCACTGGCTCCCCCTGGGCAGGGGGCGTGCTCAGGCATCAGGGACTTGGGGACAAGGGCTGTTTGTGCCTCTGTGGGCTCTTCAGGGAGGTCCCCTTGCGGGGCCCACCCACGCGCCCCGGCCCAGCAGCGGCCCCAATGCAGGATGTGGGCTAAACCAGAGTTCGTGCCCACCTGTCGCCTCTGCAGCCCCGGCCGCAGCACCGCCCGGGGCCACTGGGAGCCCACAGGCACGTTCCTTTCTGTCTCCTTGAGACCCTGGGGCCAGGACCCCTCACAGCACACTCCCCCAGCCCGGCAGGTGCCCTGTGATGGCTCGGGCCCTCTGGGGTGAACACGGGGCTGAAACCGAATCGGAAGGCGCTGAGAGGTGTTTGGGGGGGGGGGGGGCGGGTCTGCCCACTGGGCACGGCCCTGGCCCTGCCTCTGAGTCACGGAAGACAGGGGTGGGCGGGGGAGCTGCCTTCCCACCTGGGGCACGTTGCCCCAAAGCACAGGGGTCCACTGGCAACTCGTGCTTGGCCCCTCTTCCAGATTTGGGAAAAGTTTAAACAGATCCCCACCCCCCCTCCCAAAAAATTCAGAAAACTGTGGGGAAAACACTATTTGGAAACTGGCACCTGTCAATTCACCCCACCGGAACCCTTCCAGCATAAGTGCGAGGTGGGCAGCACTCTAAGAACCGCGTGGGATTTTATTTACAGCTGTCCCACCCTGTGGCCAGTCCCCAGCCTTGCCAGAGAGGGTTGTGTGCGAGGAGCTCCCAGGCTCGGGGCTCCCACCTCCCCAGGGTCAGCCCGGAGCGGCGCTCTCTAGGGCGTGGCACCGAGGGGCAGCCAACCTCATCGGTGCTGACCTTCTGACTGTCCAGTCTCGGGAACATGGCCACTGGACCTGTCCACTCATTCAACGTGGTGCAGACTGGGAGGGACCAAGGAGACAGCACTGTCCTGCCCAGGCTGGGCCTGTCCTGCCCAGGCTGGGCCTGGGGGGTATCACTTCTTGCTCTTCCGCATCTTCTTTTTTGTGTCTGGCTCCTGGCAGCTGGGCACCTTCGCTGTGGCCCCTGCCTGAGGCCGTTGCTGCCTCTTGTACGCCCCTCTCCGGCCACGGCCCCCACGCCGCTCCTGGGGTGCCGCGGAGTCAGCCCCTGCACCCTGCCGCTGCCTCTTCCTCTCTGACCTGGGACTTGGGTCTGCCCTGGGGTCGTCCTGTTCACCTCTCCCTGAAAAAGCAAGGCCACGTGCATGAGGGGCGCGAAGGCCTGGCTGGGCCGCTCCCCATCTATGCGGACAGAAGGTGTCGCCCCAGAGGGCCTGGCAGCACCGCACACAGGGGCACCGGCAGCCTTTGGGGCAGACGCGCAACAGCCGGCCAGGGCCTCACCAGCTGACGCCAGAAAGGCTGCCTTGGGAAGAGCAGCATGAGGCCAGGATCAAGGCGACAGAAGGGCAGGTGGGCCCAGGCTCCGTGCACTGGGGGCTGGGGGTGACACTGGTCAGAAGGGACAAGCTCGGAAAGCGGGGCTAGGAGCTCTGACTGAACTTGGTGCACAAAGGAGCCACAAAATGGCGTTTGGGGGCTGGCCTGGAAGAGGTGCGCGAGCTGGGCCTGGGCCCGCCACAAGGCCTGGGGTAAAACGGTACGGACGAAGGTGGCCTGGGTCAGAGCAGGGGAAACAGAGAGCCCTTCAAAGGGCATAGCCCGTTTCCACTGCAGCAGGCACAGGGCCTGGGTGCCAGGAGCAGAGTGGCCTGTAGTGAGGGCTGTCACGTTCGTGCCACACTTGTGGGGACAAGCAGAGGCGGGAGGGAAGGGACAGTTGTAGGGACAAGCAGAGGAGAGAGGGAAGAGAGGGAGGGAGGGGCAGAGGAAAGCCTCTGAAATGGAGAGCACAGTGGGGTGAACCGTGTGGGGTGGACACCGAGGATGCGGAGTGGACGGGTCAAAACCCACCAGATGCACACAGATCAAAGGGGGAAAAGGATCCGGAAGCAGCAGCCCAGACTCCAACTGCAGACAAGAGCAGGGAAGAGGGCAAGTGGCCCCGGGCAGCCAGATAAGCCGGGTCAGCACACAGGGTGGCCCGCGGCTGCAGGGCATCTTGTCCAGGCCGCCAAGGCTCCAGGACGCACAGTGCTGGGGGCGGCTGGGGGCGGCGGAGGGATCACACCTGCAGCACGTTCCCCATGACAACTGGAAGGCAAGCCCCTACATGGTCCGCGGGCAGCAGTCCTACCTGTCTTGTTCTGCAGCCGGGATTTGAGCAAACGCTTCCTTGCCTTCCTCCCCCCTCTCCCTTCCAGCAGTTTCCTGTAGGCCTCTTCTGGGATGTCATCCTCAGGGAAGATGCCTAAGGACCAAGGCAAACAGACGGTCAGGGGTGGAGACCAGGCCTGGTTCAGTTTTGTGTTCACTGCTCCACCTCACACCGAAAGCAGCCCCTCCCTTCCCAAGCTTCGTGCAAGGACTGTTCCAATGCCCACAACTCAGCCAGCTCAAAACCACGGTCAGCACAACGCAGAAGAGCCTATTATTGAAGCATTTAGGACATGCCATGGCCTACTTCTTAAAAATGCTTATGCTGGGAAGGGGCTTGAGAGAGCTTTCTAGGGCTATGGTGATGGTCCATGTCTTCATGGGGTTTGAGTCACAAAGGTTGTCTATTTGGAAGTTAAAACCCTCAGATGCTCAGTTTCCATATATTTCACTTTACATAAAGTTTCACCTAAAAAGCACTGGACTTCACTTCATGATGAGCATGAAGTATTTAGGGACCCGGCCTCACGGAGGGAAGGCTCAATGGGCAGATTCGCAATAGAGCAAGATGGGGAAATGTCAATGGCAGAGTTGAAGTGGTAGATACGCAGGTCCCTACAGTGAAGTCCTTTCAACTCTGCTATACGTGTAAAAAGGTTTATAATAAAATGCTGGGGGGGAAATGCTACATCTTCAATCACAAACCTTCCAGAAAACCGTCTTCAGAACAAACCGTGCCAGCTCCTCCAGCCATACACTGAGACCTGGCTGCTGCAGACCAGCAGCCTCAGCATGCCTGTGAGCTCACTGGGAAGGCAGACTCTCGGGCCCCACCCTGCCCTGGACTCAGCTCCAGCTGTTCTCATGCTCAGACCTGAGACCACAGCACTGAACCAGGACGAGCTGCAGAGCCACCCCCACCCCTGCCTGCCCCTCCCCACGAAAAAGAAGCCTCTGCAGACTATCCATGTTGAGCGGGCCAGCACAAGGTCAGAGACAGGGAGAAATGCCTTCTCCTTGTCAGGGGGTGGGGGGGCTCAATGCTCACCTTCAGCGAGGTCCTGCAACCTGCAAGAACAAGGACGGTCACTCACTACAGATGTGGCCCCCAGCTCCCAGCTCCCGGAGGAGGGAGGAGGCCTCACCAGAGCAGGCAGCCCCACACAAGGCCCCACCTCCTGGGCCCCCAGCACGCGGCCCTCTGCGAGCCCCTCCCTGCCTGTCCCCTCCCCGGCCCAGCTGAAGCCACCAGAGAGGGAAGGGGCAAGCCCAGGGCAGCGGGAAAAGCAGGCCAGCCACCTGCAGAGACCTACTCACTTCCTGATCACTTTGTAGAGACGCTTCCTGTTCTGAGAAGGGGTGTTCTGCTGACTGGCCATTTCAAACAGTCTGTTGGCAACGGCCTCATAGTCAAACTGTTTCACAAAGAGACACCATGGAGGTGAAGAGTCAGTCGCTGCCCCGGTGCTGCCAGAATGTGAACCAAGTAGAGAAAAGCCCCTGGACCTCAAGGACACACCCTCCTGTCCTCCTGCTGCCCCTCACCAGGGCAGTCTTGGGGCGGCCGACAAGCGGCGCAGCCCCTGAACCCAGCCTCCAAACCCGTTTTCAAGGACTCGTGCTCCTGCAGATGAGGGGTCCCCCGAGTCTCAGCCGACAGCTGCCATCGGCTCATGGCACCTCCTCCCTCCCAGCCCTCGCCAGCTCCCGAGTCAGCAGCGAAGCAGAGGGCAGCGGCTAAAGCTCCGCCCCCGAGCCCAGGCCACCCACCTGAAGGACGGTGCCAGCGCTGTCCTCGTTGTCCCCAGCCCGCTCCTTGCCCATGTCCGGGTCCGTCCCACCTACAATGAAAGGGCTCCATGAACTCGGAGACACACCCCGGTGTCACAGGCCCCTGACACACACCCTTGGGAACCAGCCCCACCTGCCAGCGCCCACACCCTGGACAGAGCGCACTGGTACAGGCTGGGGGGCCCAGCACCAGGCGGTGGGGCACCCCGTGGGCCTCATGCTGAGGGGAGCAGAGCCACCACAGGCCTGGAAACCAGGCAGACGACGCAGAGGCGGCAAGGCCTCCCCAGTCCTTGAGAAGCAGAATTAAGAGGAAATTGTAAGTGGGCATCTTAGGGGAGTGTGGTGTCAGAAGCTCCCGAAATGAAGGGTAGCCAGTCCAGCCCAGGGTGGGCCTGTTGGAGATAAATGTTTCAGATCATTTGGTGCTTTGATGTCACTGCCTATAGAAGAAACTTCTGGACCACAGGTGGCCACAGGGTCGGGCATGTGTGGCCAAGAATGAGGACAGTGGCGCTTGTGCCAGGGTGACCTGGGTGCTGAGAGCGAGAAAAAGGGGCAGCCAGAGAACCTGCTGGGAGTAGGGGAGGGAGCTGCCTAATAAGAAACCCAAGCAGCAGTCCGGTGAGGGCGTGAAGCGTTGGAGGAGAGCTCTGACTGGTATGGTGCAGTGGGTTGGGTGTCATTCCACAGAGCGAAGGTCGCTCATTCGATCCCTGGTCAGGGCACGCCTGGGTTGTGGGTTCGGTCCCTGGTTGGGGCATGTACAAGAAGTGAAAGAGTGAAGCTGGATCCTTCCCTTAACACCACCTACAAAAATTAACTCAAAATATATCGACGAGCCCGGGCCAGGTGGCTCAGTTGGTTGGAGCATCATCCTGTACACCAGACGGTTGCAGCTTTGATTCTCGGTCAGGGCGCATGCCTAGGTTGGAAGTTTGATCCCCAGCTGGAGTCAACCAATCGATGTCTCTCTCCTCCTTCCTCTCACTCTAAAATCCATAAACATCTTTGGATCAGAAAAAAAAAAACCAAAAACAAAAAACTGGATCAACAACCTAAATATAAACCTAAACCAATAAAACTCTTAGGGAAAACAAGACAAAAGCTTCATAACATTGGATGTGACAATGATTCCTTGGATGTGACACAAAAGGCACAGATAACAAGAAAAGAATGGACAAAATGGACAATGAAAATGTTTAAATTTTGGACATCGTTTTGATAGAGTGAAAACACAACTCCAAATGGGAGAAGTTATATGTAAATCATACGTCTGATAAGGGGATAGTATCCAGAATACATAAAGGACTCCTAAAACTCAATAATAAAACAAACCAGTTGAAAAATGGAGAAAGGCCTTGAATAGACCTTTTTCCAAAGAAGACATACAAAATGGCCAAGCAGCACATAAAAAAGATGCTCAAGATCAAAAGTCGTTAGGGAAATGCAACTCAAAACTACGAGATACCACCTCATACCCATTAGGGTGACTACCATCAAAAAGAAACCGAAAATGATGAGAGCTGGCGAGGCTGTGGAGAACTACAAACCTCTGTGCACTGTTGGCAGGAATATAAAATGGTACAGCAGCTATGGAAGTAGCACAGTGATCCCTCAAAAAATTAAATCTAGAATTACCGTATCATCCAGTGGTCCCACTTCTGGGTACACACCCAAAATAACTGAAAGTAGGGTCTCAAAGAAATACATAGTAGGCCCCCACGCCAATGTGACCTCCGTGTGTAAATTCAGAGAATGAATGGATTAACAGAAGATGGTACTGGAACGGTGTTATTCAGCAATTTCGCACAGAAACTTTGGGAAATGTTGTTTACCGCAGTCTGCCTGAAGCCGGGACAAACCTGAACATACAAGGTAAGTTCAGTGCTTCTGAAAGTGTGAAAGCTGCTAGTGAACCCTACTCTCCTCTATGGGAAGTAACTGAAATTAATGAAGCTCTTGCTTCATTAAGGACTTGTCAACAAACCTTGCTGGGAATACAGCTGGCTGATCAAGATGACACTGAGTAACCCTTCAGAACTAGAGAACTAATGAGTGAAGAAGCCCAAGAAAAATCTATGGAGAAAATCTACTGAGGAGTGAAAAGGGAACACTCCTAAGTAGAGTAACATGAAACAACTTAATCTAGCCTAGTAGTTTTAAATTAGTGGTGGATATAAGGTTTAAAATAGCAACTTTTAGTAACATCAATAAAAAAAAGAAACAATTATAACACTGGAGGAAACACCTTTAACTTTCTATTGACCTCAGAGAAACACAAGCGCACTATTTCCACAGTGCCCCGTGATTTTTACTCTAGGCTACAGTTACAATATTCAGAATTCCTGAAATGATCTGTGATAAAATCTAATTATAAAAATTATGTGATTCAAGGATAACATTGTTATCTTAAGTTTTATACAATATTTTGACTTGCTTATGTTGGCTCTGTAGTTGGGTCAAAATACATAATGGTCTTGCCACTGGAAATAACTGGCAGTGGAGAAAAGTTTGTTAGTTGTTAGTGTCAGATGATGAACAATACCACCTCAACTTTGCAATACACTGAGTTTGCTTGTGTTATCTTTATACAGTGAAGTAACAACCTTGCAGCAAAAAAGTTTAACAAAACATTCAACTTGTTCATTAAAAAGGAGCCACACTGTACACCCGTGTTCCCAGAATCATTACTCACACAGATAAAACGTGGAAAGAACCCGCATGCCCATCAACAGACGAACGGATAAGCAACATGCGGTCCATGCACACAGCGGAACACTAGTTAGCCCTAAAAAGGAACACCCTGACACAGGCTGCACGGATGGATCTTGAGGACATGAGGCTAAATGGAGTAAGTCACAAAAGACAAATACTACATGATCTGCTACCATGTGGGTCGTGAAGCAGCAGAATTCATAAAGGCAAAGACTAGGACCGCAGGGGCCGGGGCTGGGCCGGGGCTGGGGAGCGGGATGGACAGAGTTCCCATTTGGGAAGATGGAAGAAAATGTTCTGAAGCGGTCAGTGGCGGCGGCTGCACAACGGTGTGAGCCTGCTTCATGCCACTGAGCTGTGCACTCAGAAACCGTTAAAAACATAAACTCTGTGATATGTATTTACTAGCAAACAAAGTTGGAGGTGGGTAAGAGTCCGGAGGCTGGTGAACGCCTGCCACAGCCACAGGACACGACATCCAGTGCATGCACGGCACAGGCCACCCGGTGGGCCTGGCCTCATAAGAGCAGCTGAGGTCCTGCAAGGACCCCCACCGGCAGCAAAACTGGCCAGCTGGCCAGCACCGCAGCCGAGCACACAGGTCCTGCCCCCACAGCCCTGCAGCGGGCCACCCACTCGAGGTCCGTCCCCTTCATCTGTCTGCCCGTTCACTCGCTCCCTAATACAGAAATTCACTCGTTCATTCCGTCATCCCCTCTCTAGACTCCCGGCCTCTGTGCCAACCGATGCTCCCATCCTGGTGAGGCCGACGTGCAGCGGGGAAGATGGGCCGGGGGCAATGAACAAGCCGTCGTGTGACTGTGAGTGACTGAGGCTGGGAAGTGCGACGGCGGCGAGCAAGGTGGGGGGCGGCAGGGGGGGCGCTGGGCGGCTCCACTGGACATAGGTGGTCAGGGTAAGGCACCCAGAGCGACAGACAGCGGAGACCAGTGAGACAGGCGGAGCCAGGGGAGTCAGGATGGTGGCCACGAAGGGAGGGTTAGGAGAGCAAGCAACACGTGTGCTTATCTTTAAAGGACACCTTGGCTGCCAGGCCAAGCACAGGCTTCGGGAGCAAGGGCAGAAGCACGGAGATCAGACAGGGGGCGAGTGCAGGGGTCCTAGGAAATGCACTGCGGGCCGGGCCAGGGCGGGCTCACACGGAGGTAGCGGGCGCGGCGTATCGAACCCATGATCACCCTCACCTCTACGTGGCTTCTCAAACAGCTTCTTGGACGGCATGTCCTCTTCCTGCTCTTCACCCTCTGACATCTCCTCCTCCTCCTCCTCCATTTCACCCATTAGGTCTTCAATGGCAAACGGGGCCTGCTCCACGATCGTTTCAAAGATGCCTCGAGTGATGTTATGCAAAACCATGGAGCTGAAGGGGAGGCAGGCAGATGTCAGACAGTGAGGTGGGACCCGCAGGGGGAAGAACGCTGACCCCCGGGACCCCCTCTGCCCACTCACCACCACACAGCCCCTCTGGCGAGTCTGCCATTGGGCACAACTCAACCCCTCTTCCCAGAAGAGCACAACTTCCCAAAGGCAGTCCCCTGAAGAACTCAGCACAAAAGGACGGGCAGCCAGCCCCTGCCACTCACTCCTTAGTCTGGGCAGCGATTCTGCAGAAGGGATCGATGAACTTGAGGTTCTGGTCTGCTGTCAGCTGTGTGGGAAGTCAGGCGGGAGCTGCCTCAGTCCCTCATTCACACACCCAGGGAGGAGCTCAGCTGCCAGCCCCACCAGCCCTCCAGCTCTGCCCCGGCCCCCTCACCTTGGCCCCAGCCCCCCTTACCTCGGCAGCGCCCACTTTGGCCAGCTCCTCCAGGAAGATCTCAATGAAGTGGCTCTTCACCCCATTGGGGGCCTGGCTGTCGGGGTGCAGGATCTCAGTGGTCAGCAGCTCCAACAGCTGCCCAATCTGTCTGAAGAAAGAAATGGGCGAATACAGCAGCAGTCACGACGGGCACCCGGGCATGGTCGCTCTCCCCCTATGTGGAGCAGACGCCCCATCCTCCAACACGCCAGCTTCCAACCGCACACGGGTCCATCCCAGCACAATGGACCCTTGCAGTTACCAATTTCTGTGACCGTGCCAGCAGCGGAACACACGGCATGACTGAAGCCCAGCCGGAGAGCACGGCTGCGGAAGCACACACAGGCCTTCCGCAGGGCCTCCCGGCAAGTGCAGGGCAGAGGCCCAGGGCAACCGGAGGGTCAGGAGGCTACCACCGCATCTCACGTCCCCTCCTGCTGTCCTCGCTGGGACTGCAAGGGAAGGCGACCGGTCACAGCAAACATGAGGAAAGGCAAGCAAGGCCACAGAAGGTGGAGGAGCTTGACCCCTGGGTTCTGTTGCACTGAGTATGTGGCCCGTGGAGGTCAGGACAGGCCTCCCCCCAGCCTGCTGCTCTCTGTGGTCTCCGGGGCCTGGGCTCCCAGGTCAGAGAGCTCCAGAGACCAGTCTTCAGCACTCTAGATGCATCTCCACTCCTGGGCACCGGATGACGCACCGGTCCCTACACGGAGCTGGAGCGTGGGCGTCCTTTAAGAAGCTGCCTGGACAACGTGGGTGCCGCAGCAGGGGCATTCATTGGCGAGGGGCGGAGGGTGATGCCCGGGCAAAACGAGCCAAGGCCAGAGCAGGCGCAAGAGCCCATCCCTGGGGCCACTGATAAGGCTAACGAACACTTAGCAGAAAACACACTGGTCACAGGGGCTACGTCAGGATGGAGAAAGGGCAGAAGCAGTCACACAGCAGCACTGGTCACCCCAGGGCAACTGCAGGGGCCAAGTGCTTCACAATGACCTCTGCACTGAACTACCAGTAACAGTGAGCCTGAAATTACCTCCATACTAAATAATGGACCAATGAAAAGTTAACTGAAGTGCAATCGCCCCTTTAACACTTAATCCGGCTTCAGTAACTAGCTACCTACTGGGTGACCCACAGCCCAAGGGCCTGCAGTGAGCGAGCCCCCAGCCTCAAGGTCCTTGTGGGGACTTAAGAATGAAAAGCACCCAAAGCCAGAGGCACTGCTGCCCCCGCAAAAAGTCACCCGCAGGGATTCTATGCTGAGAAAAAATCAGGTAACTGCAACCCAGTTCCGACTGATCTTTTTAATGGGGGTCGGCGGGGGGGCAGCTGGTTGGGGCATCATTCTGCAAAGCAAGGGGCATGTGTCTGGGTTGCGGGCCAGGTCCCCAATTGGGACACACGCAGGAGGCAGACAGTCAATGTTTCTCTCCAAATAAAATCTTAAAAAGAAAAAAAAAGGTGGGCCAGGACCAACACTTTGCTCCCTTTGCTTTCTGAATATAGAAAGTCCCACCTGGTGCAGTAGCTAGTCTAACACATGGGGACTGGGTTTAGTATCCATGTACTTGAAATGAACTCCTTTTAGGTACACTTTTTAACTATAAATCAATTAAAAAATACATTGTTTCTAAGCCCCTTCCCTCCTGCTCCTCCCGCCACCCACAATCATGCAGAACACTGACACGGGATGTTTCTGATGCATCATCAGGAAGATGAGACGCAGTCTTGCGAATGTCACATTTGATACTGTGCCACTTTCGTACCATGTGCTCAGAACATGGCAACATCTTAAAAATTACCTGTTAAAATTACTTAACATCTTATGTTTTGAGTTCTTTATACTGAACATACATCACTCTCAAAATTAGGAAAAAAGTATTAAGAAACCAAATTTTAAATTAATTTTAAAAATTTTTTATTAAGATTTTATTTATTTTTAGAGAGAGGGGAAGGGAAGGAAAAAGAGGGAGAGAAACATCAATGTGTGGTTGCTTCTCGAGCGCCCCCTACTGGGGACCTGACCTGCAACCCAGGCCCGTGCCCTGACTGGGAATCCAACCAGCGACCCTTTGGTTTGCAGGCCGTCACTCAACCCACTGAGCCACACCAGCCAGGGCTAATTTAAAAAAATTTAAATGTGGACATTCAGAAATCCACTTAGAGCCCTGGCTGGTGTGGCTCAGTGGGTTCAGTGCAGGCCTGTGACCCAGAGGGTCTCTGGTTCGGTTCCCGCTAAGGGCACGTGCTTGGATTGCAGACCATGACTCCAGTAGGAGGTGCCTGAGTGAAAACCGCATTGATGTTTCTCTCCCTCTGAATCTCCTTCCCTACACCCCTCGCCAAAAATAGAAATCCACTTAGTGTGTGGATCTCAGACTGCCCCACACCCAGCCCGAGAGGTTCAGGAGCCTGCTTCCTACATTCTGGATGCAGAGCTTCAGGCCAGGAAGCAGGAGCCCCTCCTCACCCCCTGCTCAATCCCTGGCGTCTTTAGGAGGGGCCAAGGGAGGAGCTAAGACCCAGCAGAGCCCAGCCGCCGCCCCACTGCAGCACAGCTGCCCTGCTGGTGGCAGCAGAAACGCAGATCCCTTGCAGCTTGGGGGTCACAGGTTACCCCTCCACAAGCACCACTGTCAAAAGAAACCTGGACGAATTAAATATTTCTAGAACTGTGAACAATGAGCACTGTTAGCAGAGCTAAACACACTAACATGTATTTAACACATGTTAACATACATTAACGTATATGTATTAATATAATGTATAATGTGTATTAATGTAACATGTAATATAATGAGAGGACACAGTTCTAATTTGTAGAACTTACCATCGAGGTTGAAAACAAACATGTCCATGAACACGTGCAAACTGTAATTGTTAAAACACCTCCATTTTAAGCACCTTCGGGCCACCCTTTAAGGTTAAGGCCAACACCTCTTAGTTAACAACAAGTAACTCAGAGCGAACAGGCGAGAAGTAGCCGCAGGGCGTGCTGTGAGCACTGACCTTTCTTCCCATCCCCGCATTCTCAGGGCCGTGAAGGACTCCTTCAGGACGAGCCGCATGAGCTGTAGCACAAAAGGAGGCCCGTTAGGGGGAGCACAACCCAGCCTTCCCCAGGCAGCCCCTCTGCCCCGTGGCCACCTGCACGCCCCAAACACGCAGCAGCAGCCCCCGAGCTACTGACTGACGGGACACCAAGCCCGCAGAGTCCTGGGCCTGGACACTATGCTGCTGCCCCGGGCTAAGCCGCCCCAAATTCCCAAGCGCCCCAGGAAGTCAGGCTTACAGGGGACACGAGAGCAGCGACTGCAGTACCATGAGCAAGAGCTAAAAGGGACCAGTCCCCACTTCAGGAGTGAGAACCGGGCGTGACGCGCAGGTTCCCCCCAGTAGGAAGAGGCCCTGCAATAACCAGGTCGGACAAATGAGAACATCTTCTTCCCGAGAAGAAAAGAAGAGGAAAGCTTTTCTCTCTGATCTCTATGTAGTAAACTCCCCCCTAACCCTCACCATTTCAATCAAGCCCCAATGCCTGCCCTACAATCCAACTCCCCAGGACAGCGGTTCATGGTGTTTCGGACCCAGCTTCCCCACCTCCTGCGTATTAGCCCAACGAGCCTGCAGGGGGTCTAGTTGCAGGGAAAGGCGATGGAGGACAGGACAGAGCACACCCGGCAGCCAGGACTCCCGTCCCTGGGACAGTGGACCCCCTCTCTTACACAGGGCACCTGGGAAACGGGGCTCAAAAAGCAACAGAATCTATCCTCCCTAAGGCCCAGTGCACGCACCTAAGGGCAACTGTGCGCTGACTCACGTAAGAGCTCCTTTGTCTTACAAACCTGAGTTTTGTAAAAGTGCGAAGCCTGGCCCGGCCCTGCTGCCCTGCCCACTGCCTTAGCGCCCGTCTCCTTCCCGCCTCGGCTCTCTGCCTGGCCCACCGGCTGGCCCACACTTAAGTGCTATCTGTCACTGTCCATATAACTTTGACCCAACCCTGAGCGAGTGGCTAATCTGACTGACAGATCACAAGTCACTGCAGCCCCCGGGGACCCATCCTCGGTGAGGCCTGGCCGCTGCCTAGCTCAGCATCCCCAGTGATCACCTGCTCTCACAGAGCGATGCTGTCCCAAGTCCCAGTGAACACCACTGCAGAGTAAGACTGCAGTTCAACCTGGCGAATGGAAACCAGCATTTCGGAGGAAAAAACAGGAACCTACACTCCCAGGAACTCAGCATCGGAAGGAGGAAGGAAAGGGGACTCTGCATACAACAACTGTATCACTGTCCTCGCCAGAAGAAGCCGTCTTCACAGGCGGGCAGCCCGGGTGGCCCCGCGGGCCTCCGGCTCGGACACGGGCCCCGCTGGCACGCACGGGCGGTGCCACAGTTCTCCCAAGCAGGGCAATCTTAACCGTCCTCCTCTGAGCTGAAAGTCTGCGTGGCGTTTCAAGGACTGAAGTCCATACCCACTTGCCAACCCTCAGAAACAGGACAAACATTGCACGACCCTGGGCACGCGCACCCTGGACAAGACCCAGACTCCCTGAGCGACCCGTCCGGCTTGTGGGCCACAGTGGTTGCACTGCCCAGGAGCCCTCAACTCTGCCCTGTCAGGGCGGGAGGCGCAGAGGCCAGACCGCTCTGTGCTGCACCCCCACACCCCTGCTCCCCCACCGCCGGCACTGCAGGGGCCCCGGCAGAGGGGCGCAGGCAGCTTCCTCACCATGTAGAACTTGTCCAGGCGCAGTCTGTCAATGCCCGTCCACTCACGATTCATGGTCTGCCAGAAGGTCTGAAGGAACAGGTGCTCTGCAAGGGAAAAAAGGCCAGAAGAGAATCATGGAAGAACCTGGAAGCCGCTCTGGGAAGTGAGGCGAGGCACTATGAAGAAACCTGGTCAGGATGTCACATGCAACCAAACCCTGGGGTCCTCAGTCGGAGTCTGCGGAGCTGTGAGGCAGTGCCACCAATCTGGCTTCGTAAGGGGGCTGTGAGGAACCTCAGAGAGAAAAGCAGGGTTCACTACAGCCCTGAGCAGCAGCCACATTCTCTGAAGGACAGGTGCAAAGAGGAGGCAAAGCCGCTGGCAAAAAGGAGGCAGGCCAGGACACTGCCCTGGGTCCTCGGCCTCCCCGGGCTGCGGCCGAGGCCCTGCCTGGCACCCACGCCTGACCTCACTGCTTGTCCCATTAGCTGCACTGACCGATCAAGCACAAAACCCTACTGATGACGGCTAGGCCAGAGCGCCAGGGGCTGAGCCGTGTTCCTCAGACTCTTCCATTGAAGCCCTAACCCCTATACCTCAGAATGACTTTATTTGAACTTACAGTCCTGGAAGAGGTAATTAAGAAATGGGCAGCCCTGGCTGGTGTGGCTCAGTGGATTGAGCTCTGGCTAGCAAATCGAAAGGTCGCCGGTTCAATTCCCAGTCAGTGCACATGCCTGGGTTGTGCGCTGGGTCCCCAGGTGGGAGCATGCAAGAGCTAACTGATTGCTGTTTCTCTCACACATTGATGCTTCTCTCCCTCCCTCCTACTCTCCCTAAAAATAATAACTAAAATTTTTAAAAAAAGAAAAGAAATGAGCAGTGGCAGCTCATCCTGGGCTAACCCTGAAACCTGTCTCCAAGGTCCCCTTTTCTTTGACTTCTCAGTGAGCAAAGCAGCCCACCTAGACTCTCTCCTATAGCTTCTTCTACCTTCAGCCCTTCCTTGTTTCACTGTCCCCAGCTTTAATAAATGTACTCCCAAAAATCAAAAAAATAAATAAATAAAATAAAGATGTAATTGATGTTAGAAGGTCAACTGGTATGGGCCCTCATCCGATCGGACTGGTGTTTTTATAAGAGGAGATCAAGACACAGACCGACACAGGGGAATGACTGCATGAGGACACGGGGAACACGGCATGCACATGCCACGGGGAGAGGCCTGGGAGGAGCCAACCCCGCCCACACCTTGACCCTGGACACGAAGCGGCCTCTTCAGTCTGCTATAGGCTCCTCCTGCAGCGGACTGTGAGGTGGTTCGGTAATGGGCAGGCCTGCATTCGCTAACTCATTCAAGCGTCACCAGGTGAACACTCTCCACTTAGCCTTTTGCTGAACTTAAGAGTCTTCCACAGGCTCTTAGAAGGCAAAAAGTATGGAGGATAGCCAGGGTGAGGATTAAAAAGAAGTATGGAGGATAGATACAGATACGCTCCTCCACTTAATTACTCGGATGCAGTTAGAGACTCTCCCAAGTTGAGGAAGTGGTTTATGTGACTATTTGCACACATCCCCCAATTCTGATCCTCTGCCTACTTAAGTCTAACTGGACTAAACCCACCCATGCAGTTTAAGCCTCACCAGCAATGGTCCTCGTGCCTATGCCAGTGACACTGCCCGGCCCAGGCTACCTTCAGAGAGGCACGGGAAGGTTGAAAATGCTGGTGCCCAGGCCCCACCCTCAGTGCTGGACTTAAGGAGGCTAGGGTCTGGACGTCAGGGTTTCTGAAGGCTACCAAGCGACCCCAACTGGCAGGGAGCAGGGTTGCGGACTGCTGACCCTGGTCAGAGTGTAAACAAGAGTTAGGAAAGCACACTGAGGAACTTCAAAACTATCAGGTGAGAGTCAATCGAGCAGCTTGGCCATGCTACACTAGCTTGCCATTTTACTTTTAAAATGTAAGATATCAGCCCTTTAGGCTTCTGAGCTGGGCATACTGTAGGTAAATGAGTTAATCCGTGTTGAAGCATCTCACAGACTAGAAGAGCAGACACCAGATATGGGAGGGGTTGCAGCTCTAGACCTCCTGCCGTCGTCCCTACAGCCCGAGCCTTCTGTGCGTGGTAGCTGCCAGGCTCCCAGCGATGCTGGCCTTACTGAAGAGACAGGATACTCACGGGCCTCTGCGGTCTGAAAGGCATGGATGAGCTGCGAAATGGTCCTTCCCAGTTCCTCCTGTGCAGGAGACAATACAAAACTCCCTCAGCCCCTGAAGAAATGTGGTCTTACAACAACCAAAAGATAAACACTTTCAACTGTCCACCTCTCACAAGAACAGGCTTCCACTGGCTTCTTCAGCCCAGTGTGAGTGAGGTTTGTAAGCTACACCCCCACTGTGAAAGCCCTCCCCCTATAGCTGGGGCCAGCAGAACCCCGCAACAAGGGCAGTAACTGTCCTCATGACCAAGGCTGAGCCCTGAGTAACAGAGGCTGCCTGTCACAGGAGGGGGTGAGAGGGCTAGACCGAGCGGGGAGCCTCAGGACGTGCAGCCACCTGACCTGCGGAAAGAGAGGGCCAACCAGACCCTGTAAATTACTCACTGTCCACCTGGGTCACTGGCCAAGCACCACCTACTGCACTTGCTAACTAGGTAATTCCAGGGTCTCCCCTGACACTCTAGTATAGTAGGCATGGACCACAGTACAGGAATCTGCATGTTAAATACCGCCCCCACCACCCAGGGAATCTTGAAAAAAGATAAACAACTCACATCTGAGAAACATTGTTCTAAAAAGGCTAGCATTTTAGGGTAGTAAAGCTACTAGGTAAGATACCATAGTGAAATAGATAGATGCCATTATATATTTATCCAAACCCACAGAACATACACCACCAGAGGTGATCCCTCAGATAAACCATGGACGCTGGGTGACAATGATATGTCAATGTTGATTCATCAATTATAACAAATGTACCATCTGGTGAAGGGTATTAATAACAGAGGCAGCTGTGTGTGGGTGTGACTGCGGCAGGGCAGGGGGGTGAGGAAGAGGAGCAGAAGGTAATGGTAAATATCTACACCTTCCTCTCAATTTTGCTGTGAATTAAAACTGCTGTGAAAAATAAAGCTTGTTCCTTAAAAACAATACAAAAAGCTACAAGAGAAATCCATGTCTCAGAAGACAGGGACCCTCTCCTTTGGTTTCCATCATTTTGGGGCTCAGTGTGTGACGTCTCACACACACAAGAGATAACCCAGGCTTCACCCATGCGATGACCTGCCCGGACGATCACCTGTGTGGCTGTGGCGCTCATAGCAAGTGTAAGACTCACTCTAACCAAAGGTTCTGGCTCTCCAACCATTAAAAAAAAAAAAAAAGGCATCAAAGCTATAAAACTTCACCCAAGGTCAACCTCATGCCCATCTGCCCTCCTACGAACACTGCTGCTCCGCCTCCCTTTCCCTTCCCATACACCCACCTGGAGGAGCGGCTTGTCCTGCATCCACATGCAATAAAACAGTCCTTTCCATACCTTCAGCAGCTCGTCATGAGTAAAACCACCTGCACCAAAAACAGCAACACTCAGACTAAGTGGGCCAAACCTTTTAGTGCTGGGAACAAAGCCAGAGAAATGTGCCTGCCTGAACGAGACCAAAGTCCAACTACTGCAAAGGCACCCTCTCAAGTCATCCTCCTTCGCCTCCCAACTCCTAACTCCGAACTCACTGGGCCTGTGGCTGTAGGGACACCCCCAAGTAACTACCATTTCATTCCTTCAATAAAAACTGAGAATCTACAAGCATCAGGCACCACACTCCATTTGGAGGGGATTCAAAATTGAGTGAGTCACCATTTCCTGAGCTGGACAATAGCTGGCTATACAGGTGAAGTTGTCAGCGATAAATCGTCCAACTTTACACTTGGGAGTTTATGCAGTTTTCAGCGTTATTATACTTTAAGTTTCAAAAAAAAAAATGTTAACTCATCAGGCTAGCAAGGCAGAGAAATATGTAGAAGCACTCAAAATATTTAGTGAGTTCCTCACTGATCTGGCACCCTGTTCCGTGGGCAGTGGTTCTCAGACTTTAGCACTAGTTACTGGAATCACTGGGAAAACGTCTTAACACAGACTGCTGACTCTACCGCCAGTTTCTGATTCGGCAGGGCTGCGACAGACCAAGAATTTGTATTCCTACAAAATGTCCAAGTGATGCCGAAGCTGCTGAAGGCGTACCACACTTGAGAACCATTGTTACAGAGATCGGTTAACAAGCATGTTGTTTGCCTTCGCGGCGTGTGCATTACAGTGAAACTCACACGACAATCCGATAATTACACAAGGAGAATTACAGTGACAAACGCCCCAGGAAGCAGTGGAAAGTACCGCCCGCAGGCCCGCCGGGCCACGTGGAGGTTCCACGCGGTTCGGAGGCCACTCAGCCCAGACCGCCGCCCCCGCCCCCGCCAGCCACGCGCCAACCTGCAGGCCGCTGAGTCCTGGCGACGATGTATTTCCGGAGCTTCCTCACCGCCCGATCCCGGATCACCTGCTCGTTCCCTGCCAGGCGCTGCGCCAGCTGGATCTCTGGGGGAAGCTGCACCCGTGAAACCATGGCGACCCACCCCAGAGCCCCCGAGACTCGCGACCGCGTCGCTTCGTCTAGGCGCTCGGTGTGACGTCACCTCACCGCGCCTGCCTCACCCAGGCGCGCTACCAGACGTAATGCGCCCGCGCCGGCGTCGGTCGCACCGCACGCCATTGTCACAGAGCGGCCGGATCCGCGATGACAGCGCTTGACAGCTGTAACTAAAGGGAGATCACTAAGTGTGTGCCTGCCTTCTAGGCGGGGCCTTGGTTTAACTCGGTTGATGACATAGGAATGGTAGAGTTGGACAAAACCCTGTGCAGCCCCCAATGAATCTTTGATCCAGGCGAAAGTAATCAGAAAATGGCAAAAGGGCTGAGAAAGCTGGTCGAGATAGGGTCTGCAGGAATATCAGCTCCCTCCCCCGCAAATGGCCTGCCACAGCTGGCGCGGGCGCCCTCTCCCAGGCAGCACCATCACCTGTGCGCAGTCTAGGCTGACCCTCATGCAGCTTTCAGGTCTGCCCTCGGCTTTCAGGACACAGGAAGGCCGCGCAGGCGCACAAGAAGACAGTCACTCCCCATCTCGTTTTGGGGTAGTCTGCAAGACTATTGTCCTGGTATCTTCACAGAGGTAATGTCATGGACGAAGGAATGATTAAATGTCTATACAAAGGAGAGGATATACAGTGCATATACAAATCTTGATTGGATCCTGGTTCAAAGAAAAAGCTGTAAATGTCATTTTGGACGCAACTGGGAAAGCTTGCGTATAGACTAGGTGTTAGATTATAGTGCAGAATAATTGCTTATTTTCTTAGGTGTGTCTGTGTAGTGTTTACATTTATGCATAATGGACTCAGTAGACTTTTTCTATAAAGGGCCACCTGTCAGGGAACTCCAAGCCCAGGCTTGTTGATCTGCTAGGTTAGGAGGATGCAGGGCTACGATTTATTAGGGCAAAAGGATACAAGGCAAAATCGGCACAGGGAAAAGGCCTGGGGAGAGAGTCCAGGGGACACCAGGAGGAAGATTCCAGAATCCTCTCCAGGTGGAGTCACACAGGCCATGCTTAACTCCCCAGCGAGGAGCTGTGACAACACATGTGAGGGAGCAAAATGGAGAAACACACTTTTACATCAGTGGGTGCAGGGTAATTCGCATTTACCATTTACAGTAAATAGAGATGGTATGTGGGCAACAAGGTAACCGGGATTTCTGGTCATCCATCAATGCCAGTGTGATTATGCATCCAAGGGATCTGGCAAAGCAAATTACTCTGACTTTTCAAAGGTATGTTATCCTAGATACATAAGAACAATGGACAGGGCTCACAGAAGGTAAAGACTGACCTTTTATTCAGGAAGCTATAAGCCTGCAACACGATTACTCACCACGACCTGCCCAGCCAGGAATTTATGATCAGGTCACCTTGTGTGGTTACTTTCAGGGACTGAACTGTCAAGCCCACCAGGTAGCCCCATGAGTTTGTCAGGTCTGCTCTGTAGCCCCTTTTTCGTTCACACATTCATTCATTCAATTATGAGTGTACTGTGGGGGTCTCTCCTTCCCCTCTCCCCAGGGCTCAACCACATCTGGCCTCCCACCCTTCCCTAAAATTACAGACCAGGCTCTCCTCTGGCAGGTACCAGAAAGGCTTGCCTCCCCCCCCACCCCGGTCCTATACCTGCTCATGGACCATTCCCGCTGGGGCTCTGCACTGGAGCCCCCAGGAGGCAAGACTGGGCCTGCTCCTGCAGCCAGCACCCAGTGGCAGTGGCCCAGCATCCACCGGGGTGCAGCCCTGGAGTCAGGGAAGAGGGTGTAGCTGGAACGCCTCTCCCACCCCAGCCTGAGGCCCTTGGCATCATCTCAACCCTGGACTCCTTTATGCCTCCTCTGTTCACCCATGTCAGCCCTTTATTATGTCCCTAGGTCACTTACTGGTGACACCCAGAGTGGCTGGAACAAGGAGGGGTGCTGGGCTGAGCCTTGCAGATGAGGGATACAAAGCAGTCCAATGCACTCGGGAGTGAGATCCGGCAGGGCCTAATCCAGACTAGGATGCCCTGGCAGCTCCTGCCCTTTTCCCCGGCTACTCCTGGAGCCCACTGGGCACAGGCTTCTCTCTTTTTCTGCCCTCTGTGGCTCTCAGGTTCAGCTCCCACTTGTCTTTGGGCCCCCTGCCCCACTAATCTGCCCTGCAGGGGGCCAAGGCCACTCAGGGGCTTCTCCAGGGCCCACACCCACACCCCGCCTACTGGGTGACCCATGATCTCCTCTACAAAGCCCACACCCGCCCCTGCTTAAATCCCCGTTTACCCTGCAGGGCCACGCCCATCCCAGCGCCTGAACAAACCCCATCTCCTCTGCAGAACCCATACCCACCGCTCACTGGGCCTAGGGAGCAAAATGGAGAAACACACTCCTTTTACATCGGTGGGCACAGGAGAGTTCACATGTCCCCTGCAGGACCATGCCCACTCCTGCAGCGCCTACCTCCACTGTCCCTGGCAGGGCCCTATCCAAGAGAGAACATTTCTCCTTCTTCCCTTCTAGGTTATTTGGCTGGTCTAATAATTAACTTGACATAGGACGGATTAACAGGGGAAAAACAAATTTAATCTCATACATACAGAGCCCCATAAAGATATGAGATCCAAAGGCCGTCAGGCAGCTTAGGTCTGTAACGATCCAGAGCTAAGGGCCGGATTCTGGGCTGCAGAGAGGAAAGCCAATCACAGGAAGATGGGGAGAGCCGATATTTGATAGATGTCTGTCCTGAGCTGCAGGTGAGTCTCAGGTTAAAATATATATATTTATATATTTACCTTTATATTCATATATTGCTCGCTCTCTGAACCAGGCTCCCTGTTTAAATGCTTTCAGGCAATTAAGGGAGAGGCAAAGGTTCTCCCGCCCCCGCATTGGCTGGGTCTTGATTGCCTTCTGCTGAAAATAATCTACATGCCAAAGTGGCCCATTTTGGGTGGCGGATTCTGCTCCCCTTCAGCCCACGCGCACATCGAGAGGATCAGGCTCCTAACAGCCCCACCACCATACCTTCGCCCCCAACACGTGTGCGCGCGCAGAGCCCGATAAACCCCCACCCTCCAGGGCCCGGGCCCCCACCACGCTTCCCCAGCTCCAAACTCTGCGGCCAGTAAGACCGACACCAAAGCCGTGGTGGGAACGGACACGCGCCCCTGCTCCTCTCATGGTGCCCTGCGCGAGGCTCCCAGGTTGCGCAGCTCACCCGCCCCACAGCCCCGCGCGCGCCCTGCCTCTCCCACTAGACCGCGCCCTCCCCGCGCCGTCACGTGGCTCCGCCCACATGTCACATGACTTTGCGGATTTAGGGTGGAGGCCGTCTGCACTCCTAGCCACTTTAGCCGAAAGTTCTTCTGTGCTTGCTGCTCTTCTGCGCACGCTGCCCCTCCATGAGCTGTAGAGGGATGATGTGCGGTGGGTGTTCCGCCACCAAGCCCGCCACGGCTGAGATCCAGGCCATCGCCGACCAGGTAGGCGGGCTGGGTCCTAGCGAGCCCGGGGTCGATTCGGCCCTGAACGCACAGGGGCAGCGCCCGCTGGGACGCGGAGGTCGCAGCTGAAATGCGCGCGTTTCGGACGTGACCAGTGAGGCTAGGCTGGGACAGGGACAGAAGGGCCTCGGCTTTTGGGGACCACGCCCTGAGGCGCTCAGAGGGAAGAGCCTGGTATGTTGGTCCTCAGGCGGTTTAGGGGAAAACCAGAGACCAGGAGGTAGAGCAGGTGGGGTGGAAGTTAATAGTCACTGAACCTGGGGAGGGGTATGCAGGGATCCTGAACTTACATTCCCCGTGTAAGTTCGGAATTATCTCCAAATAAACGTTTTAAAACAAAACAGAAACCAGACTGGGATGCAGAGGCAGAGCCTGGGTCAGACCCTGGGCAGCGCCTGATTCCAATGCCTCGGTGTCCTTGTCTGTAAAGTGGGCATCACTGAGGCGCCTTCATAAAAAGTTCTGGGGAGGGTGGAATGGCGGGGCCACACGAAGGCTCGCGGAGAAGACGAAAAGCACAACAAACTTGTTTCTCCTGTAAGTCTCCCCTTGCTTTCTCTTCCCTAACCCGAGGGAATGCGTGCGCCCCTTGTGGTTTAGACCACCTGACCACAGTGCAGGGTGGTGAGTCAGTCCCATGAGACTGTAACAAAGAGGAATTTGCAGGGACTGCCTGGGGAGCCAGCTTGGACGAGGTGCCGCCCCACGCTGCTCACAGAGCCCAGCTCTTCCTTGCTGCTGTTCCTGGCTTCCCAAGCCTAAGAAATGTCTCACTTAAGTGAGCTTTGTGCAGTAAGCTCATTCAGGAGGGGAGAGTTGCTGCCTTGGGGCTCCTGAATTCGGTGGTGGTCACTTGAAAGTGGCAAGTAAGAGGGCGGCAAGCCGGGAGGCAGTTCTTGAGGGTGGGCCATTGTCTGGTGGCTGGTAGAGGACTGGGGCAGGGACATGGTCTTGTGACCATTTGTACTGACCCCCTCTTCAAAGCACTCAGGGCTGCAGGTGAGGAGAAGAGAGGTCAGAGAGAGAGCCCCAGCCGGAAGGATGTCAGAGTCCCGAATTCTCCTCAGCCCCCTTGAGGACTGTCCCATCGGTCCTGACCTCGGCCTTCCCCGGCGTTCTGAGGGTTGGTAACTCGCAGTTTCCTAACCGTCGCTGGGCTTCCTGCGCTCCTCTTGGCTCCAGTCCAGCCATCTCTGTCCTGGTCAACAGCAGTATCAGTGAACTGTCACTGCAGGCAGTGGCCAGCCTGGCCTGGCCGTGGAGGCTGCCGCATTCATAGTCCCGCCACCTACATTTGCGTCGTCTCACCATTCCTTGCAAATAGCTGGGGCTTTCCTGCCTCTGCTCCTGAAATAGGCCAAGAGGGAAGCAGTTCCTTCCCAGACTCCAGGGAAGGTTTGTGGGTGCCACTCACTGCCTTGGGCGCGTCCACCATCTGCAGAGTTAGGTCCCTACAGACCAAGCACAGGCACTTTGCATGAACAAGGCTGCTACAGGTAAGCCTCCAGACACAGGTAGGCCCGAAATGAGAACCCTGCCAGCTGCGTGGAGAGGGCAGAGGAAAGGCAGGATGGGCCTGCTGTGTCCCTACCTGACCCTCTGTGACCCTTCCTCTTGCCCCGAGCTGCCCGGACTGCATTCTCCTTCCCATTCTTATCCCTGGGAAGGGCCCCTCCCTGAAGGCACAGGGCCGCCACAGCGACTCCTGTGCTTGTGATGAGGGTGACACCCCTGGGCCCCCAGCAGCTAGCCTGCTTCCTGCATCTGCCTTAACTAAAACCCTCTGACCCTCCAGAACTAGTCTCGTCGCTCCAGCGAAAGTCAACATGTTCCTGTGCCTACTAATTAATTTAGATAGCAGATTAGATTTTAAATTAAGAAAAAATAAATTTAAAAAACAAACCTGCTTTCTCCTTCCCCCGTAAAGATGCCCACTTACTATGAGGCCAGGATCCTGGGAGATGGGATTGAGCCAAATGGATGATTGATCCCTTTGAGATTTAGGATTAGGATCAACCTCTCCCCAAAGGCACTCATCCTCAGGAAGTCATCTAAAAATGCAGGACAACACCCTTTACCTGCAAAGCACTTTCTCTGCTGCCTTATCTGTTCCAGGAGAATTTAGGAAAAGCCTAAGTGCCCAGTAGGGGGAAGTGAAGAGAATTAAAACATCTGTAAGGTGGAAGATTAAATCTAAAATTAAAATTAATTTCCGTTTAAAATTTTAAACTGTTTTAAGTTTTTAATTTTAAAAGAGTAACTGTTTGCATGTTAAGTAAAAAGAAAACCAGGGTATAAACTTTTGTCGGGTTGACAAAAAAAATCCACTTAAGTTTTCTGTAAAATAAGAGACATGTTTTTCATTATCACTAATAACTTTACTGATTTGGATAGTTTGAGTATGTTGGCTATCTCTGGCATTGTAGACTGTTGATTGTTCTCAATTACTGTTTCAATTTGATCTCTATCAACTTCAACCCGTCTACCCGACTGTGGAGCGTCATCCAGCAAGAAATCTTCAGCATGAGACTTTGCAAACCACTGTTGACACATATGATCCATCACAGCACCTTCTCCATATACTGCACAAATCTTGTTTTGCGTTTTAGTTGTATTTTTACCTTTCTTGAAATAAGAAAGCATACACCAAAATGTTGCATATTTTCTTCCATCTTCAGTATTAAAATGGCTACACAAAAATTCACCAATTTTAATGTTTTTTCAATGCACATTGCTGTGACAGCTGTTACAATCCAATGTAACTAAATTGTTTTGAATGAAGTTAAAGACAAGCACTACTAGAGCCACCTTATGGGGAAAAAAACAAATGAAATTTTTAGCCAACTCAATAGTGTCAATACTGTGGGAAAATGTGAAAATTTCCTACACCTAGAAAAGAAAGGGCAAGGGAGATACTGAAATCATACCTTTGAAACTTTAGTGGAATTAAGGAATTGTTTGCTGTGCTTTGCCATTAGTGTGAACAGTTTAATACGTCTCCTCCATCGCAAGGAGCAATGGCATCATGGAAAATCTGTAAAGGGTAGACCTTAGAGGTTAATTTGTAACACTTAACGTGAAGTAAAAAGAAGCTCATGCATCAGTCATTTACTCATCCAGGAAGGGAGCCACTGAGTTTTCCCTTCTGTCCCGTCCCCTAGGTGAAGTCCCAGCTGGAGGAGAAAGAAAACAAGAAGTACACCATGTTTAAGGCTGTGGAGTACCAGAGCCAGCTGGTCGCGGGGACTAACTACTTCATCAAGGTGGAGTGTTGGCTACATGGGTGCTCTTACAGACCTGGGTGGTGGGGGACTCATAGGTGCCAGAACCAGGGTGTTAAAGGAGGTCCTGCGGCCATCCGCGGCCTCGGGGCATTTGTCCCCGGTCAAATGAGTGTACATGCAAGCATGCAGGCCTCCGTGGAGGAGGGGACTGAGCCTTCCGGGCAACTAGGGGCTCTGCTGGAACAAATGTGGGGTGCCAAGGGTGCTGGTGGGGGCGATGGGCGTCTGCTGTGCCCCAGGGAGGAAGGTGAGAATGTCATCACCCTAGTTGCTGATGCCCTCAAGGGACGCAGCCTCCACGCACCCAGGGCCTCTCTCACACAGTCCGGGCGAGCTGGGGGCTTGAGGTCAGAGGGAGCACCTGCCTCCCACCCTCACTCCACTCTCTTTGCAGGTTCAAGTTGAAGATGATGACTTCATCCACATCCGAGTGTATGAAAGTCTCCCGCATGAAAATAAGCCCTTGGCCTTGCACAGCTATCAGACCAACAAGACCAGTCATGACAAGCTGACCTATTTCTAGTTCTGGATTTTGAACTGAACCCATTATCCATGTGGTTCTCTGTCTTCTGATTATGTGTCTGTGGTCATAAATGATTGATGTCACTACACTGTGCCTCTTTTGCTGGAGGGGCTGTTCTGCACCCATCTGGTGTCTCTGTTTCTGACTTTTAATGGTGTGATTTTCCTCCCAATCAATGATTTTAACTGAGTTGCTCTCAAAGAGGGCTTAGATTAGTTCTAAATACATATATTTCTGAGTCTTTGCAAATTTCCTCGTTTTGGATTTTTTTCATTTGAAACCATAATCACCATATAGAAGTGTCTAGAAGTGTTTACAAAGTTCTTTCATGGCCATGTGCCGGCCTGAGCTGGCTGAAGACCCCTTCCACCTGGGGAGGAGAGCCCAGCAAGGTCACTCCAGGTCATAGCCACTGGGTGGTAGGCTCAGGATTCCAGGAGTCAGGGTTCCAGTCACCGCTCTGGACACTGTTGCTTGGACTTGGTGCCGTCTCCAGGGCTTGGCTTCCTCTGTAAATAAGGGGATTCGAGTAAACCCAATTCTTGACTGTTACCTCCAGGTGTGCTCAGACACAGCCACACACTTGACATTTCCATGGCAATGAACAGATGCAGTGACATCGTAGGTACCAGGGTCCTGCAAACCACCTGTACCGCTGTCCCGAGCACCATCAGCCGGGGAGGCTGTCGAGCTCATCCGCTAAGCCAGCTGTGTGTGCGTAAAGCCAGAGCAACTGACAAGAGCACGTCTGATGTAACAGTGCTCTCAGTTTCAACAGGGCTCAGTGCCCACCCGTGAAGTCGGTCCACTGGTTGGCTTGCCCTGTGTGTGTGTATAAAATGGAATTTAAAAGACTACCCCCAACATAAGAGTCATGACGGGTGATACATCTGTGCGGCTCAGGGTCAAGGTAAAAAGTGTCCCTGAGGGCTGATGTGGGTCTGACGATCCTGAGCCGCGCTTCACTTCTTGGCAGCGGGTGGCGTTTTGTGCTAGGGTCAGGCTGGGTCGTGTGAAGAGCACAAGGGCAGAATGGTGGGCGTGCACAGCCTGCAAAGCAGTAGTGGGACATCTCCGTGTGTATTCTCATCGCCATGAACTGCGAATAAAGCCCCCTCCCTTTTATTAAGATCTTATTTTTAGAGAGGGGGGGAGGGAGAAGAGAGAAACATCAGTCAGGTGCCTCTTGCACGCCCCTGACTGGGGACCTGGCCCTCCACCCAAGCTTGTGTCCTGACTGGGAATCAAACTGGCGACCTTTTGCCTTGTGGGACAATGCTCAATCAAGCTCACCAGTCAGGGCAACAATGGAACAGTCATAACACACTCTTAGTTTTGGCAGAGTGAAGCAATTTGGTGCTGAGGTGAAGACCTAGTACAGTTCCCACCTGGGGACCTGCAGGGTCAGGCAGAGGGAGATACCATTTAGGTTGATGATAGGGCCGTGCCCTGCAGGCAGGGAGCTCCCACCAGCCAGTTCTGGGTGTGCCTGTGGGGGTAAGACAGGTGGCGGCAGTTATCCAATGCTGTGACATACCAACGCCACTGGGCCGGGCACTTTACAATGGTTAGGTGTATGCTGTGTGAATGTCTCCTCCATAAAACACAGCACAGGACAGTAAGCCAGAGCCAGTTCAGGGGCACCTTTGGCAGAGGGTTTGGGGAACAAACTCTGGGCTGGGGCACTTCCATCTGCGCACCAGGCCCAGCCTTTCCTCTGCCTGCCCTGGGCCCTGACCTGTGGGGACGCCCTCACCCTTTGTCCTCCAGCAGCTTGCTGCAGGGACCACCTCAAAAGTTCGGTGCCAGAGCTCCTGGTTACTGGCACCTCACACCAAGATGGTATTTCCCCTTCCCCACCCCATGTGACCGCTCCCCCTTTCCACATACTTGTAAATGGCCTCTTTATTTCCCCAGCACCAGGAAGACAGTGGTCAAGGGACACTGCACCCCTGTCACCAGCCACGCTTGCCCAGCTGTCCACGTTGCCTGGGGATGACCTGAGGGTTGATCTACAAGTGCGGGAGGGTGGATAGGACCTACTGGGCTAGTAGAACTGGAGCTGTCCCCATGCAGGTGAAGGAACTGGAACCCAGGAAGGGCAGTGACACCTGATCAGTGACCAGAGCTGGTCCTCAGAACACAGCAGGGACAGGCCAGGAAAGGGAGCCCCACCCTGCTCTGACCACTGGGGGGGGGCGTCCTGCAGGCACCCTGAGGGTCTGGAGCCCGCTGCCTGGGACGTACAGGGCAGCACCCAGGACAAAGACCAGAGCGGGTCTGGTGAGAGGGGACCTGGGCCTCAGAGAGCAGGGCAGGGCAGGCCCTTTCTTTAAGAGGGAGACATTTCAGGGACAGCAGTGACTATGGCTTGGTTAGCGCGGTGTAGGTGAACGAAAGGGAATCCTGTGGGGAAAAGAAATCCTCACGCTTCACCACAATCGCCATGAAAATATTTATTTGCAGGGAATTGTACGTGGACAGGCGCAGGGCACACAGACAGGCCTCGACAATGCTGACCAGTGTTTTACATTTACAAACATGTCCACACGCGCACAGTGCGCAGCGCTGGTCGTCACGGGGCTGGCAGAACCATCACCGAATCTCACAGAGATCGACCCACTCACAGCCGGGACCCGGGGCCACATGCTTTGTTCCCAGGCTGCATTAAACCCTGAGAAGCCTCCAGAATCCAAGTTCCTTCCCAGGAACTTCCCAGTAGCATTGGGCGAGCTTCAAGTCAGCACCTCAGTCCTCCTGTTGTTACAGTTTTGCAATCATTGGTTGAAATGCCAACTAAAATTCCAAATTGGCATCCAAAACACCACCAGGCCAATGTGGAGATTAAGACTTCCAGTTCCCCAAATGTTAACATCGACACCTCCCGTCACCAAGACAAGCGTCGCAGAACCAGCCCAGGGTGCCGCCACCGCGGAGGGCTGGCCCCCTCTCTCCAGCTGACTCGCAGACCACAATGTCCCAGCCGGGGCAAGTGACCGAAGGCCTCAGGAAGGCGTCTCCTACAGATTGGGCTTCCTGTCACACACAGACTGGAACTTGCCCTCCCTGGTGTGCAGCTAGAGAGGAGGGAGTCTGCAGGTTGGGGGCTCCACTCACGACGACCACCCTGAGGCAGAACTCAGAGGCAGGCACGAAGCCTTGCTCTGAGCACAGGGCTCTGCTTGGCTTAGACAGTGGGAAAGCTTTTATAATTTTTATTTTTAAAAGATTTTATTTTTTAGAGAGAGGGAGGGAGGGAAAGAAGCATCAACATGAGAAACAACACTTGGTAGCCTCTCATACACACCTGGAATGGGGACCGAACCCACAACCCAGGCACAACCCTGACTGCAAGTCGAACCAGAGACCCTTAGCTTTTTGGGACAATACCCAACCAAGCCACACTAGTTGGGGCCAGTGAGAAAGCTTTTTAAATACTTGTTTACTTTGCCAGCATTTAAAAAGAAAACTCTAGCAGAAGACTTCCATTAATAGTTTTAAAATATTCTCTAAGTCAGACCTAAAATTACTCATTGATCTGTTCTGTGAACAGACTGAACACTTTGTGTTGTGAGCTAAGACCTCTAATGAAAGGCAGGAATGTGGTTTGTAAGACATTGTTTTTTAATCAGTTAAACAGAAAACATTTTGCACCGAGAATAAACTGCAGACGTCCACAAGACACATGCACTACAAGAACTGAGAGCCCCCCGCCCCCGGCTCCAGCGCGACAGTTTGCCCCGTCAGGGCTTCCAGACAGCAGTGAGGAGTGCGGCTCAGGGGGAACTGTGGAGCGTCCCCGGGGAGGGGACACACGCAGGGCCCCCCGCCCTGTACACTGCCACAGACTGCGGGAGGTGACGTGGAATAGAAACAGGTGGGTTCAGCAGCAGTACCATTGAGGGACAAAATTGAGTTTGGGGACAAAACTGAGATGTGGCTCCCACCCAGACACAGAAAACCACGCCACATTCATAACGTCCCCAGCTGCACATAATCCACTCAGTTCAATCACGAACCCCCTCCTTCCTTTAAGCCCAGGTAGGTACTGGGAGGCTCGCACGGGGAGGCTCGTGTGAAGGAGGCCCCAAAGGGCAGGTGGGGAACAGAGAAGGAAGACACGGATACCTAGCTATTCTGGCACTGAACACAGTCCGGTCACATGGTGTCTCTGATTCACAGAGGTGGACCGATGCCCCGGGCAGGCGGGTGGTCCCATCCAAGGACAGGAAAGACCAGGAGACGGTGTGTGTGCACCGGCGGTCCAGCAGCCAGTCGGCAGAGGGGCCTGCAGCTCCCACGTGTTTGTCACACGGATGGTGGCGGTGGGGAGGTGACCGTTCCATCAAGACTCAGGCATCACGCCGCAAGCCTGTGTTCTCAGCGCTCCAACACCCTCCACTTACGTGGAGCAGGTGAGCCAAGCCAGGCTCAGTCCATTGGAAAATTAAACATTTTAAAAATTGGTCCTAGTAACTGTGAGAGCAGGACCACACACAAAGCATTGTTTTCACCATCACTGATGTGTATTGCAAAGATAAGGCCAACTAACACAATTCCCTTCACAGGGCTTGGCAATGATATAAGACTGGTTTAAAAAAGGAGGGGATCCTACTTTGTAATTCATCTTGAAGGTCTACGGGAGGTTTAAAACACTGAAAAGTGTTGAAATCTGCACTCTAACAATCTCCAGTGTTAATATAAATTATCATTTTGCATGTCACTAAGCTATGTAAAGTAAAAACAAAGATCAATTCTAATGTGGACCCAGCCTGTATGAAAAACTGCCAGGGGCCGGGGCTGACTTCTAGATGGGAAATTCCACACACAGACAGCCCAGGGGCTTCCGCTGCCCGGGTGGGAGACAGGCAGACAGGACCCGTGGGCGTAGAGACAAGCTGAGCGCGCGCAGACTCAGCAGCATGGGCATGGGAACGTGGGGCTCAGCCTCCCACGGAAGCTCGACGTGTTCCTACAGGAGCCCCACACTCTGCAGAGGCTCTCGGGGCCCCCAGCTGCCTTCTCGTAGTACAGACCACTCAGCCCCATCTCCCTGTGTTGAAGCTTTCTAGCCCAAGGACACAGAAAAGTCTCTGGTGGAGCCCAAGTCCATGGTCCTACAGAAGCTCTGTGGGTGGAAAAAGTCTCATCCCTCTGCATATAATACAGGCAAGGAAAAGAATGAAACCCCATGTGGGGACAAGCCTCAGAAAGAAAACCAAAGAACCAAGAATCGCATAGTGTTTGGGGTATGTTTCCCTTCAAATTCGCTGTACACACGGGGTAAGCCCAACACCCAAAGCCGTGTTTTCCAGGTGGGTTTTCACTCTTATGGAAGACAGATACATATGGGTTCTTTCCCCAGCCCTGTACTGGCTCTGGATGTTAAAATAAAAAAGGACACGCTCTCCCTCCTGGAGCACCCTGGAGCCTTTGGCCTCCTGTCTTCTTCCCCCACAGGCATGCATCTCCTAAGCTCTAAGGGACCCCACAAGACTTGTGACCAGGGAAGCAATGGGCAGTGGCAGCTCGCCCTGGGCTGACCCCCTGAACAAGCTTCCAAGGCCCCCCTTGCTCTTTCAGCTGAGCCAAAGCAGCCCCGCCTAAGCGCTCTCCTTTTGCTGCTTCTATCCTAAGCCTTCTTGTTTCATTTTCCCAGCTTTAATAAACATCCTCTCAAAGCAAAAAATAAAACAAAAAAAGAGAAGCCTTTCCTCACAGCCGGCTCCCCAGCTCTACTTGGCAGTGGCAGAATGTTCCCTTAAAGGCGCCACACAGGCACATGGCCCTGGGTGACTTTGGTTGGTCCCTACGTGCACCCTGTGGGGAGGCTGCCTCTGCTGGGCGGCAGGCCGCTCCTTCCTCCTCCGGGTCCAGTGGGCCCCACAGGGACCAAGAGGTCGGCTCTGCCCCGGGGCTTGGAGGAGCCTGGTCCACAGAGGCCCTGGGCCTGCGCGCGGGCCGCCGGGAGCACTGCGGCACCAAGTGAGGACGTTCACAAGGGGCAGCGGGAAGCGGGGCGGGGAGTTCAGTGGAGAGGGGCATCTCTTCTTTTTGGGTGTTTTCTAGAGTGAAGAATGTATGCTCAGTAGATTGCGGGCCCCTGCCTCTGGGCACGGAATGTGGGTGGGGGAACAAGGGCTGCCCTCAGAGTCTGTTTTCCAAGGGGTCCCATCTGGGTCCCCGTGTCCTGTACCGCCCTCTCCCCTCCAGGCTGTAGGCTCCCAGGGGGTGCAAACCTCTGCACCCCCAGAGTGGGGGCGGGATGCCGTGGTCCAGGCAGACTGTCTTTAGGGTGGGCATCCCGCCTGTAGCCACGCCTAGGGTACCCCAGAATTCTGGGCAAGGGGAGCCAAGGGGGTCACGCTGGCAGCGGATGACTGGACTACTGTCCGGGCAGAGGGGTCAGATGTGTCAACTGTGGGGGCAGGAGCCCACCGGGGCCCTCTGTACCTGTCTGCACACTAACTCTGTGGCACAATGGGGTCACTGGCAGCGGGTGGCAAACGCGCAGTTTCTAAGCTGTTGTGCCATAAACAGGGCATTTTCCAAAAGGAGCCCGGTGTGGCATCTTCCCAGACACCTGAGCCCTGCACCCACCTTCCCTTCACCGGCATCTCTGCACCTTGCTCCGCAGGTCCCCAGAGACACTTGGTGACAGGGTGGTCCCACTGACACACGTGAGATTTGTGGACTGACTTGAATTTTGGGGTCCCAGAAAGGTCCCTGCCAAAGTGACTGTGCAGGCCCGTGTGTCTGGGCCAGCTGGCAGTCACCTGTCCCGATGGGGAACAGAAGCGGAATGTCTGAAACGCCCCGCAACCTACCGAGCAGCAAAAGAACAAAAGTCCTGAAGCAGGAATGGAGAGGAGATCAGAACGGCAATAAAGTAATTTGGCAAAATTTGTCCGGATACGAGTGGTTAACACTGAGCTCGTTCCCAGAGACACACAGATAAGCCCCCGCCACCCTGGGGCCCAGTGGGTAATTCAATGGTGGGAGCCGATATGACCCTCTGGGGGCAGAAGCCCCCCCACCAAGTGCCACCCCCTAGCTGGGGGGAACGCCCCGAGAGAGTGACCACAGAGCTGGTTTTCCAGAGGCCCAGGAGCCTCAGTGGGGAAGGGGAGCTGGTTTTCCAAATCACCCATTTCTGTGATCACTTGGTTAGTTTTAAAAAGCACGACTGGCACAATTTCACAATTAAGACCAGTTGATGCTGGACACTCACAAAAGAAAAAAAATGTCAAGTGTCGGTCACGGCTCTAAGGCAGACGTTACATTTTTCACAGGGATGAAGACGGACACACCGACACACTGTGTGTCAGGAGGTGGGCACACGAGGCCCTCACAGCACCGTGGCCTGGACGACGATCTCCGGGTTCTCGATGTCCCTTTTGCTCTGGACCATCCTCAGCTCCAGCTGGGCCGAGCTGGGCTTCTGCCCTTCCCCAGCCTGGGCTGCAGGACAGGCGAAGCATTAGAGTTGGGGGCAGAGCAGGGGGAGGGCTGTCCCTGGGGTTCCCAGCTCGGGGGGGAGCTCCATGCCGCGGCCCACGGGCCCCATTCCTGAAGGCCAAGGTCAGGGGACAGAGGGAGCCACGGGGACCCCAGTCACAGCAGCATCGGTCACTCGCCACCACAGTTGAGTGGGGGCTGCCCCCTCCCACGGCTCTGCCCGAGGCCCCAAACACAGGAGGCTCTCGGGAATGCAGAGGCGCCCCCCACGCCCTGCCAGCGGTACCTTTCGCGCACTTGATGGTCCGCTGCAGAACATGGTGCATGGCTGACACGGTCTTCTCACAGGCCACCTGCAGGGAGGAGGAATGCTGGGCCCCCGCCACCCTCAGGCCCGTCCGCTCCCTGAGTTGCCCCCGGCAACCTGCGAGAGCACTGTCTCTGCCAAGTCATAGGGGTGCTGGCTTGGCCATCACCCCCCAACTGGCTGGGCCTTCCCCACACAGAACAGAGCTGAGCAGATGCCTGTGTAACACAATTAACTGCCCCCACCCACCTCAGACCACAGACAACTCTAGGAAGGGCTGGACTCAGGACCATCAATATTGCAGAGCATACAGTGGGTGCTTAGTAAGTGTTTCAGGGATGAATGAGTTATAAAAAACCTACACGGGAAAGACCTTCTGCTCCACGGTCGGCCAAAGTCATTGCTCTCAGTCTCATGGTCTGACCTGGGGCTCAGCAGGTGCTGCCAGGGAATCAAGCGGAACTCCCTCCCTAGCTCGGGCCCCAGGCGCCCCGCCCACATGCCCTCCCCAGCTGGCCTCGGCCTCCAGAGGCCCAGCGGTGAGGCCTCCTTGGGGAACCAGAAGCCCCTGACTCGACCAGATGGAGCTCCCGCTGCTGCCAATTAAACTGACAGGTCTGTGCTCACAGCAGGTTGGCCTTCGGGGGTTGGGGGGGCAGGAGGGGGTGAAGCTGGCCAGGGGACAGCACATTTTTGTTTCAACTGGTAGTTGACAGGGAAGGACCCCAGGACAAGACTTGCATTGCACAAACAGAGCCCAACACCCAGATGTGTGCTGGGGAAGCATGGATCCCCGGGGAAATGGGGTCCCCTAGGATGTCAGCAGACAGCTTTAGGGGAGCCCCTTTCCAGATCCCGACCAAAAAATGAATTCTCCCTTCCTCAAGCGGACCCAACCCAACGGACCCAACCCAACGATGGCCTGGTTCCTCTTTCCCACCAGCCCCCTCTGCCCGCAACCGCCCTTCCCCCTACCTGGGGGCTGGCAGGCGCCCCCCATCCCAGCCTGACACACAGCACAGTTGGTGGAGGGCAGACCTGGCTGGGGGCCAACAGGACATCAGATAGAACAACTTGATGAGATACCACGAGGTTGCACGTGGTATGGAAGTCAAGGAAGTCAAAGAACACACCTGAGTCCTGAGCTGCACAGCTGGCTGCACAGGAGAGACCCTGCACCCCAACTGACTAACTCAGCCCAGTGACTGCATTCGAGGACATGCTCACACAGGCTGCTCTGCTGGAGAGGCTTCCGTTACCTAGGCTGCAGCACCTCAGCCCTGAGCTAAAGGCCTCGGATTTCGGCTGGTGCAGGACTCCCTGGGCTGGGCTGGGCACCCTGCTCATGAATGGGAGGGACGGTGAGCAGGAGTGGGGCTGGGACTCAACTCAGATGTGGGACATGACACAGAGGCCACTGCCCGCCCCATGCTGCCCCCCTCTAAGCTCATGGTGACCCTTGTCCCCCTCTGTGGGGAGTGGGTACCCTTTGGACATGGTATCCACTCCCCACAGAGATTAACAGATCAGCCACGGCAGGAAGGGTGCGCCCTGCTGACCTTGAGGTTATTGGGGTGCTTGTGTGTCCATGCCAGGAGCATGGCAGCAAAGAGGTCCCCGGTGCCCACGAAGACAGCGTCCACCTTACGAATGTCCATGCGGATGCGCTCGGTCATCACGGAGCCGTCGGGGTGCCCTGGGGATGGCACGGCACACTGGGACCCCAGGCCCTCACCAGCAGAGGGCCAGCCTCAGCCTCAGCCCGGCCTGCCCTCCTCCCTGCTTGCCCCTGCACCGCGCGTGACAGGTAATGCCACCCGTGGAGGCTCCCTTGGACAGAAGCCAGGGATCCGAGCCTTCCTGGTGCTCCCAATGCCCCACAGTGGTTTTGCCGTCCCAAGGGACCACAGTCAAGGTGACCTGGGGGGACACTGTGTAGCTGACGAGGGGCCAGCTCACGTGACCTTTGGAGGGAGCCTGAGTAACCAGGGCATCTAGAGCTGTCGGGACTGTGAGAACTTACTGAAGTGTGCGTGTGCGAGCAAGTGTGCAAGTGAGCGTGAGTGCGTACGTACATGCGCCTACGTGTTCGGGCGTGTTCCTGCACATGGATGCAGAGGGAGCAGTGAGGAGGGGTCTGTGAGGCTGCTCTCTGGGGCAGGGGGTGTGACCTCAGCTTCTGCATCATCTTAACACTGTGCAGAGAACACCAGCTCCGGCGGCACTCCCACAGTGGAACAATGAACACAGCAGAGCGCCAAGTGCCCCCGGCGAGGTTGCCCCCAGTCCCAGCCCCGTGGGGGTCAGGCATGCGGACACCCGGTTCCCCCCCAGCCTGGCTACAGTAGGGCTGCTCCCCGCGACCCCCACGTGTAACTCGGGACGTTTTCCTTGTGCCACTGGCTGCTCAGGGGCCATGGGGGCGGTGTCGGCACCCCAAGCTCCACCACACCGCGATTCATGGAAACCCTTTTCCATTCTGCCTTCAGTCTCATCCTTCTCAGGATGGGAGTGGTAGCGACAGGAGCTCCGGAAAACGACTCCCTGCTGAGTAAGGCACCATTTTCCTTCTATGGACCCCCAAGCCTTCTCGGAAGCCTGCCAGGGCGTACGGTTGGGAACTCTCTGCCATGGTGGGGTGGGCGTGGGACTTACGGGTCCTCTGGCTCCCCAGCGCGATCAGGTAGTCGCTGCCCCGCGGGGACGGCAGGTTGGAGCTGGTGATGACCACGGTGTCAGGGCCCATTGAGTGCAGCACGTCCATCACCTGCCAGGCACAGGGAGCAGGCCAGCCACTCCTGAGTCGCCGCGACGGGCGCTCCTGCCCCCACCCCGAGCCCGAACAGCCAGGCACGGCCGGCACTCACACCCATGACGCACTCTTGGGGGGTTTCATTTCATGGGGCTGGAGGCTTCCTGCCCTCGAGGGCACAACGCCTCGTCAGAGAATATCCTCTGAGGTCAACTCGGGCTGTGGCAAAGTGCCAGGTGGACCAGAGCAGGGGCCAGGTTTGAAGGGAGCAGGAGGCGCAAGGCTCAGTTGCAGGCAACAGGTGCATCGCCGGCCTTCCTCAGGGCCAGCACCAGACGCCACGCTGTGCGGGACCCCAAGGTCACTCTGACAGCCCGGGAGGGCTGCTACTCTGGCCCCAAATTGAGCAAACACACTTGGAATCTCTGGTGCTGGGAGGCTGACGTGGACTCCTAGTGACAGACTCTCGGCCTAGGAGTCTGCTTGCCCAAGTTGCGGCACGGTAGCTGCGTCCCCCACCTCAGCCCAGGGCCTTTGGGCTGGGGGTCCCAAAGCAATGAGGAACCAACCTCCTGTAAGGGCTGCAGTGGGTTAACCCAGACCTGACAAGCGTGAAGCTCCAAGTGACCGACCAAGTGGCCGAAATGAAATTCACAACGCATCCCTCTGGTCCTCAGGGTAGCTGACTGTGAGTTGGGATGCTGGCCACTGAGGGGGCCTATCTCCCTTCTCCATGGGTAGATGGCTGTCCCCTCCCCACTGTAGTCAGAGCCACCTGTCCCACACCACAGCCTGGAAGATCTCCTTACCTCTAAGGCTTCTTCCTGGCTGTGGATCTTTCTGCCACTCAGTAACCTGAAAAACAGGCAGGCACAGGTAAGACATCGCATGCCAGCTGGATCCTGCCTGAAATGCCCCCAGAACTACAGTGGGACTGAAGCCCCATCCCCAACTGCCACAGGGAGCTAACTCAGAGCCTGCTGGCCATCAGGGGCCATCACGGATCAAGTGGCCACTGTGACGTGTCTGGGGACGGGTCAAGAATACACTTTCATTTTAAGGGGGACTCCCACATCACAGGGCATGCTGAAGTTCCTGACTGAGGTTAACGTGCACACGTAACAACGTAAAGAACAGCAGCACACAGCCCCCTTAGTGACCCATGTCACGGCCCACGGGGCCAGCAAGAGTGACCCACATCCACAGAAAGTCACAGGTGCCAATGGTTAGTGTACCAGTCACAAGAGCCCACCAAAAGTTAAGGTCCTCAGGGTGAGCTGTCATCCCCAGGATGGACAGGTCTGGGTCAGGGAATGCCAGGCCCCCAAGAGTCCAGAAGCCCCTTCACGTCTACTTTAAAGAGTGACCTTGGAAATAGAGGGGACCAAGCTGATGGTCCAACAGGGCCAAATTGCAACCACCTCAGCACTCAGCCGCACAGTCCACGGCCCCGGGAGACGCCCCTTACATCCCCGGCGCCTGGCTCTTCAATGCACGAGGGGCGGCCGTGCAATCCAAGAAAGGCCCTTTGAAACTCAGTCCTGGGAAGGGGCACCACACACTCCTCTTAACCCCATGTGGAGATTTGGGACGTGGGTTTCAGAGTTTCAGAGCTCCAGGGTGTCGGCAGCCACGTGCCAGCACCACTGCCCCCTTGGCGTCCCCAAGGGTCCTGCTGTTCAGGAAGACGGCTGGGGTCAGTGCGATCTCTACGGGGAGTTGGCGTAAAGTGACTGCACGCTATCGCTGGCGACCAGAGGCAAGGCAGGCCGCGGTGCCTCGTCACCCGGGAGCAGGGCCTTCCGAGGAGCTGAACACGAGCCCCAGAGGAGACCTGGGATGGTTCCTGCATGTCCCTGTCGCTCTCCCGTGGGGAAGCCCGTACACTTTAGCCATTTCTTATCACTTACTCGGCCTCAAACTGGTTGGGAGTTATGATGTCTGCAACTGGCACGACCTTCTCTTTGTACACGGGAAGGAGGTCCTCTGGGACGTACTAAAGAGAAAGGACACAGGGACACAAGCTGACACACACAGAGGAGCAGGAGAGAAAACCCGGACCTTCGGGCCCAGGCTTAGGGCCCCCACGTGAGGCTGGGCGCCCGACCGTGGAGACGGGCAGCGTGTGGTGGCCCACAGGGCTCCGAGGGGTCCTGGGGGAGGCCGGGCACACTCCTCCCACCGCCAACACCCTCGGCTGCCAGGAAGGCCAGGGGGTAATTACCCCAGGGTGTCCTGCCTTCTCTGCTCACGTCGTCACCCGCTCTGCCCCACTGCAGGGACGGCAAGCTACGGCCCACTGCCTGTCCCAGTGCCTGTCTGCATACGGCTTGTGGGCTGAGAGAAACTTTAGCGTTTTCTAACTGTTGGGGCAAAAGTCAAAAGCAGAGTGACACTGGGTGACACGTGGAAATGACAGGAAATTCAAATCTGCATCTGTATATGAAATTCTATTTGGGAACAGCCATGCCTGATGGTTTGCAAATGGGCTGCTGTTGGCTACAGCAGGGATGTGTGGCCCTAAGATGCTGACCCCTGGTTCCCTGCGGGGAAACCTCCTCCAACCTCCTCCACCAGCCCCACCTCCCCCTAGGCAGTGCCAGCCCAGTCAGCACGACGCTGGCCTGCTTCTGGACTGACGGCACTAGCTGCAGTGACCTGGAAGTCAGGCAGGCACAGGCGAGACATCGCTCGCTAGCGGGGCCCTGCCTGTGACGCTCCCGGAGCTGGTGACTACCGCGAGGCTGGTACCCACACCCAGCGCGTGAAACTACTAACCATGGAGCCTTCGCCGTCCCACTTGTCCCCCATCACCGGGTCACACACTGTGGAAACACAAAGGACATCACATCAGCAAAAGCTGCACCTTCCACGTGATTTTTGTCATTCAACTTCACCTGCACCTGAAAGCTTGGGAAAGCATGAGCTCCCGGTCTCATTTATCTCGTCACCTGGAGTTTCCCCGTCTGTCACCCGGGCCACCCCAGGCATCTTCCCCGCTCCACCCCTCTAGGGGTGGAGCGTCACATGTTCTCAGCTGCAGGGACTAGCAGCCTGGCCTTTGTACAGGGACACCTGATACAGCCCGTTTCCCTCACGAGCCCCACACAGACACCAGGTTCATCAGGTTAAGACGTTTCTAACCCAGGTTCTGAAGGCTCACATCCCCAGAGGCCTGGTGGGTGCAGTGCTTACAGGCTGGGAGGCGGACCACGAAGTCGGGATGCCCAGCAAGGAGGCTGAGTGCCCGTGCACAGGCCCCTAGGAGACCCTATGTCGGCAGGGGACAGCCCAGCGCGAGCCCAGCACCTACCGTACACAAGCCGGGAGTTCTGCTGCTTCAGCTCCCGCACAATGTCCACCACCATGGCCAGAAAGGACTTGTCCCTCGTGTACCCTGTGGGAGGGACATCGGGCCACCCTCACAAAACAGAAGAAGGCTCACAGCAACCAACCATGGCAAAAGGAAATAGAGGCACCATCAAAGCCGTCCCGCGGCCGAGTGAAGACCAAGTGTCCCCTAACAGATGCAGTCCGCGGGGGTCACCAGGCACTTCCCAAAAGAAACACTGAGTTGTAAATGAAAGGGAGAAGCCGTGGGGGACAGGTGTCCATGGGATGCTCTTCCGTCCTGTTCATTTCAATAGTAAGCGCTTCCATTTTTAACCGCGGACACAAACACAAACAGGTACTCTCTTTTTTTTTTTTTTAAACCAAGAGTGCGTATTAATAAGACCAATGACCGGGCAGTGGTGTGTTGCTTACTTGGGAAGGGGCCGCCCACTTGCAAACACCCCACCTGATCACACCCCACCAGATGGGACACTGCAACCCCAGCATGGTCTCAGAAGCATAACTCAACTTGGGCAAGACCGAGTTCTCCTTGAATGAGGGAGGGCCAGGGACGAGCCTGGGGCAGGGGCAGCTCTGGGACCTCCCGAGCCCACCACGCCCACCGCGGCTGGGGCAAGGCTTGCGGGTACCAGCGCCCGCTCCCTCAGGGCGCTCACCTGTGAGCACGTAGTCATATTTATTCACGTTGTTCAGCTTCAGGCCTTCGTACAGCTCGTGGAGTTCATCTGAGTTCAGCACTTGACCCTTCCAGTGCGCGTAGCCTGGGGGAGAGCAGGGGCTCTAGGCCTGAGCACGTGGGTGACACAGCTTCACCCGACAGCCTGACACAGCCCCGCCCATTTCGGTGGACAGTCCCCTCCCCCTGGGCTGACACGGGGACTGACAGAGACCTGCTGGGCACAGTGTCTCGGGGGTGCTCCTGGTCCCTGCGGGTGCCGGGCAGCCTCAAGTCGCCCCCGACAGCACACCTGGCTCCGGCAGTGCCTGTGGTGTGGTTATGGGCATCAGGGCCATGCTGCCCCCTGCCAGTTTCCTCTGGAATTAATCCAAGGCAACGAGGGCCCCAGCTCTCAGGCTGGCCCATGGCCACCCGTGGGACCCGAGTCGTGTTGGCAGGACGTGGGGAGGGACACAGGATGGGACACGCCGAGCCTGCACAGCTGTGTAACTGCTCCCTGTCCTTAGCAGGAGCCCCCGGGAGGTGCCCCCATACGTCGCAGCGGCTTGCTCTGCCAGCTTCTCCTGTGCCTACTTCCTTGTCCAGGCTTGAGCTGTCTGATCGCAGCACCTGGGCACTCGGGCAGGTGGGGGCTCGTCGGGTCCCAGCCCCACCCTCCTCCCCCACAGGACTGAGATGTGATTTGATCCAAAGCAAGTCTTGGATCAACTCCTGACCAAGAGCCAAAGGTGACATAAGCACCAGGCCCAGCCTCTGGCTGGTGTGGCTCAATGGACTGAGCACCAGCCTGAGAACCAGAAGGTGGTCGGTTTGATTCTAAGTCCCAGCAGATACCTGGGCTCCGGGGCAGATCCCCAGTTAGGGGTGTGCAAGAGGCAACCGATCAATATATCTCTTGCACACTGATGTTTCTCCCCCTCTCTTTCTCCCTCCCTTCCCCTTCTCTAAAAATAAATAATTTTTTTTTTTAAAAAAAGGCCCCACATGCTTGGCCTTCTTTCATGGGTCCTCAGGTGAAGCGTTCACTGCAGGCAAACAGACGCATGCGCATCCTGGGGGAAGCCACGGGAACCCCTGCCCAGAGGCTCAGATCGGGGCAGGCCAATGGCTCCCCGTTCACCAGGGGTAGGGCCACATCAGGGACACCCTGTGCTCCACCCGTGAGAATTCCTCCTGGTGTCCTTTATGCCATGGGAGGCCCTCCAAAGTATGTGCCTCCAGATCCGTAAGTAAAAACAGCGGGAGGGTTGATCCCTACAACCTTCCATATGCACCACAGGGTGCGGACCCCGGCCTGGCCAGGCAGCATGGTCTGGGGTAGACAAGGCAACGGCTCCCTCTGCTGGCATCTTATGTGCATGGACCGGAGCCATCCTGATTTTGGAACAACTCCAACTGTTAAGGTGATTCTGCAGGGGCGGCGAGGTCCCTGGGACCTCCGGCCGGGGGCAAACGCACGGCTGTATGTTCCGTGGGAGACACCTGCATGAACTAACACAGGAGGGTGGGATCTGACCACCCCATTAACTGGGTATCCTCAGGGTCAGAAAGGCCAGGCAGTGAGTCCAAATGAGCCCCTCCACAGCACAGGGCTGCCCCCTCCGGCTCAGGTGTCCACTGGGGGCCGGCGGCGTCTGGTGGTGTCCTGGACAGGTATTTGCTCAAAGAAGGCTGGCCCCTGGCACCGGGAGGTCTGCCCCAGGAACACCTGGACTGTCCTACCACCCAAAACGGTCACCCCTGTCCCTTTCAGCCCCCAAAGCCTCACTACCCCAAACCAATCCATCTTTCGTTATTACGACAGACCCTCCTTATCCACAGCAAGGCCTGAGGCCGGCACCTGGGCCGTGCCTGGGTCTGGGGCTGGTCTGAGAGAGAGGTTCTCAGGCCCTGCCCAGACCTGCTGAGTCAGAATCGCGGGGTGGGGCAGCGCTCCGTTTTAACAAGGCCCCAGGAACGATACCCGCAAATCTGAGGAACACTGACCTAGAACAGAGGTCAGCCAGCTGGCCCTTTGGCCGAGTCTGGCCAGCCCCATGTTTGTGTACAGCCTGCAAACTAAGAGCTTCATTTTCCTTAAGTTTTTCTTTAAAAAGAAAAGATTTTTTCAAATTTATTTTTAGAGAGGGGGGAAGGGAAGGAGAAAAAGAGGGGGGAAAAACATCGATGTGAGAGAGAAACATCCATCAGTTGCCTCTTGCACGCCCCCAACCCGGGATCCAACCCACACCCAGGCACATGCCCTGACCAGGAATTAAACTGGGGATCTTTCAGTTTGCAGGACGACGCCCAACCCACTCAGCCACAGCAGTCAGGGCAGGGTTCACATTTTTAAATGGTTACGGAAAAAAAGACTTAACAACTTGTGAAAATCACATGGAATTCCATGTTTAGTTTCTTCTTTTTTCTTTTTCTTTTTTTTACTCCTCGACTGAGAACATGTTTATTGATTTTAGAGAGACCCCTCTAGGGAAGGAGAAAGAGGAAGAGAAACACTGATGTGAGGGAAACATCAATCAGTTGCCGCTCCCACTTGCCCCACCTGGGACGGAACCTGCAACCCAGGCATGTGCCCTGACCGGGAATTGAACCTGCGACCTTTTGGTTTGTAGGACATCGCTCCAACCAACTGAATCACACCAGCCAGAGCAGCTCAGTTTCTATAAAGTTTCAGCTTTCTTGGAACACCCATACTGTCTCCGGGTGCTCCAGGCTTCAACGGCACAGAAGTTGCAACGCCTCAATGGTTACTCCCTGGCCGTGGGCACCACCTGGCACTCCCACTGCCTGTTTTACTGCCTGTTTTACTGCCTATTTTACTGTTATAGGAAAGGTGGCGGCCCTGCCCTCCCCCAGAGAGTCTGGCTTTCTGTTCTCAATCTTAAGAGTGATTTCGGATTGAGTCACAGCGAGCTCCCCGTGTCACACCCACGAGGATGGTAAGAATAAGGGAGACCAATTATAACAGGCATTATTGACGAGGATGTGGAGAAACTGGGGCCATCACACATCGCTGGTGGGGGTGCAAAATGACGCAGCCAGTTTGGAAAACGGTCTTAAAATAATTACCCACAGAGTCCCTATCTGATCCAGCAATTCTACTCCTAGGTACACCCTGGAGGAAACAGAAAACACATCCACAGAAACACATGAAGACACGTGATCAGAGCAACACGACTCATAAACCCAAATGGCCACCAATGGCTGGATGGATAGAGAACAAAGCGTGGTAGGCACACAAGGTGGAATATTATTCAGCTGTAAAAAAGAATGCAGCTCTGATATGTTACGACATGGATGAGCTTTGAAAACGTCAGGCTCAGCATAAGAAGCTAGTTACAAAAGGCCGCCTATCATCCCATTCCATGGACATTCAAGTCTAATGGGCAAGTCCACCGACGGAACGTAGACTGGTGGTTGGGGAGAAGTGGGAATGGGAGGGACTGCTAACAGGTGCAGCTGCCTCCACTGGGGCAAGAAAATGTTCTGGAAATATCGTGGTAAGAGCTGTGTACTGTGACTAAAGACCACTGAATTGTACCTATGACTAAATTAATGCTACTGCATGTAAATGTCTTAATAAAAATGTGGCTTGGTGTGGTTTGTTTTTTTTTAAAAAGAAGGGATGTCTGACCTGGACGAGCTGGCAGGTCACAGCAAGCAGAACCTGGCAGGGCTCAGGGGCCCCAGGGTGGGATCCGTGGGGCCGCTTGCTGAGCAAGGTATACAGAGTATGTGGCTGACCTCCCGAGGCAGCTGGAGCCATGCGCTCAGGGCACAGGAGGACCCCATGGTAGAAACAACACATTGGCAAGGCTGTTGCCAGAGAGCCTGAGGAACGCAGTGTCAGACAAGGACACTCGCAGATGGGGATGAACTCGCCGAGTTCACACACGGCCCCTACAGAAAGACATTCCTGCTGCACACTCAGGCCACGAGAGATGCTCGCTGCAGGAATGTGGAAAAAATAAATAAACCAAGTGCCTCCAGTTAAAAAAAAAGGCAAAAATATCAAGAACGTTTGTGGCCCAGGCCCTGGTGGTGTGGCTCAGTGGACTGAGCACGGGCCTGTGAACCAAAAGGTCACTGGTTCGATTCCCTGTCAGGGTACAGGTCCAGGTTGCAGGCCAGGTCCCCAGTAGGGTGCCCGCGAGAGGCAACCACACACTGATGTTTCTCTTTCTCCCTCCTTTCCCTTCTCTCTAAAAATAAATAAATAAAACCTTAAAAAAAAAAAAGCATGTTCATGTCCCATGTCCAGGACAGAACAGACATGTCATCATGGGTGCGCTATACTTAGAGCAGGCAATGTGACCCTTTTCCTCGGGAGCAGGGGGCCGTGTGGCCCGCAGGTGCCAGGTGCCACACTGCCACAGGGAGTGGGTTCAAGAGACTGGCCGGCCTCACTTCTGAGCGGCAGGGTGTGGGCACACATGCGGGGGAGAGGAATGGGGGGAAAGGGGTGCATGGGCTCAGGGGCACAGTGAGGTCTCACCTGGCTTCTCCAAGCCTTGGGGTTGGCACCTGAGCCATGGCAGTGGCCTGGGGACGGCCAGCCCCTGGAAGCCCTCTGACTAGGGTGTTCAGGTAGCCGCCTCAGTGGGCCCAAGCACAGGGTGCTCCCAGTCACCCACAGTGGGGGCTGCCTGAGAAGGCTGCGGCGGGGGCAGAGGGCTCATCTCTATCGGTGGGGAGGCCCTCCCAGGACCCACAGGGGACCCACGGGGAAGGAAGCCCTCATCCTGGCCCTAACCGTGCCTGCACCCTCCTGGGGTGGGCAGGATCCCCCTCTGCTTCAGACCCTCAGGATGGCCAGCTCCCCATCACCTGAGAAAGTCCATAGGAGCTCAGAAGCAGCCAATCACCGAGGGAGCGCCCAGAAGCGCCCCCCGCCCTGAATCCTGGGATCTGGAGAGAAGGGCAGGAGGAGTTTCTAAGCCGGACCTCTGCTTAAATTGAGCTAATGTCATTACGGCAACACTATAATATTCACCAGTAAGTTTAATTCCATCCTTTATTGTCCAAGCCAGTTTGGCTCATTTACTTTAAAAAAAAGAAAAATGGGAAGGTAGTTAAAACAGGCAGTAAAAACATGCAGGATTCAGGGAAGTTTGCTGAAGCGACCCAAACTTTTTGGGACTTCTACAAATTTCAGAGCACCTAGCACACTCGGCAAAGTGAAAGCAGAAAAGGACTTTGAGTGAGGACTGCAGCCGTTTCCTCCAAACCTGCACAGAATTCTTCCCTCCCTGTTCGTGACTTATAACCGCCTTCCGTTCCAAGAAAAACGGCACCCCAGAGGATTACAGAAAACCCTTCCTGAGGGCTGAGGCAAAGGCGCAGTGCCAGGCGTTTCTGGGATGCCCCATGCCCAGGGTCAGGGTAATCTCAAAGAGGCAACGTGGGGACACTTCCAAAAACCAAGGAGGCTTTGTCCTCCTGCCTCTGTGGTCATGCAGAGCATGGGGTCAGGGGCATTTGGGGAGCCCAGGAACCGGGGGCTCGCCCTGACCATAGGGCCTTCTAAGGGCACCGACCCTCACACACCCTCAGCCAGCAATTCTGCTCCAAGGCTTCAGTGTCCAGAAATCCCCGAGGTCCCCGTGCACTGTGCTTCCCCAGGCAGCCGTTTCTAATAGAGAAAACCAGGGTCCACCCACACGTCTGCCTACAGCAGGGGGGACCATCCCCGCAGCCATGGCATCATGAGAGGCGTGAGCCCTAGGGTAGGTGCCAGGATAGTGTCCTTGTTCTACAGAGGAGGACACTGAGGCGCCACCTCCCCTGGTTACACTGCCTGCCCAGGTCAGCCAGCCCAAAACCACCAAGCTGAGACTAGAGGGGCAGGCCACTCCTACGCACAGGAGACTCCAGCCTTCCACCCTGACAGAGAGCACCCTCTACAAGGGGCGACCCTGCGGGCTCTGTTTCCCTCTCCATCAGATGAGGGGACAAGGCCCCAGATCTCAATAGGGCCGTTTCTCACACCCAAACTCAGCAGAGCCAGCGCCATCCTTACCTGTGTGGTTTGAAAACTGGACAGAGTTCACAGCATCAATCTCAAACCCCAAAACCTGCAAGACAGAGAAGGGCCAGGTGTGAGAGAGCCGCAGGGCTCACAGTGACCCACAGCAGGTGCCTGGCCCCGGCCTGGTGGCCAGCCTGCAGGAGGGGAGCTAACGCAGGCCAGGCCCCGGGCGCACGGACCGGGAGGTTCTTCCGAGTCAGGCTCCATGTCCCCTCTTTGGGTGGTGCCGGTGTCGGGTGATGGCTTCGTTCACTCTCTTATGTAGAAAACGCGTTGGGAAGCAACTAGCCTGAGGGGCTGAGACACGGAGTCCACTCGCCACCAGCTGGGACTCAGTACCTGTGATGACTTCTAGAAATGCCACCTAACAGAGCTCACAAAGGAGCCCAGGAGGCACCGAGGTTTGGTCTGTTCTGAACGAGGGCTGCGAGGCTAAAGCCCCCGCAGCAAGGCCAAAGGCTCCCAGTCCCTCCCCGGGAGCCTAGCCTGTAGCGCCGCATCCGCTGGCGAGAAGGCCCCCAGACCCGGCCGAGGGTGCCCTGAGAACAGTCACAGACCCGCTCACTCTCACAACAGAGGGATCGACCCTGCCACGGGGGTCCTCTGGCCCCCAGGGCTCAGCTGCCTCAGGGGCCAGAGGAGCATTTCTGAAGGGGGAGGGCGAAGGAGAAGGGGCTCTGTTGCCATGGGAACAGCAACACAACTTTTTGCAAGTTAGTTTATTTATAGCACACAAAGCAGATGACTGCAGGAAAGTTAAACTGTCACTGTGTTCAAAGCTAAGTTCATAAAAGGTAGGTGCTCTTGTTTAATGAAAGAGAAGAGAAAGTTGTGTCTAAGTGGCCTGCACGCTGGTGACTTCGAGAGCCCAGGAGCTGGTTAACCCTTCATTCTGCGAACCTTGACAGAGCATGGGGCCGGAGGAGGATGCGCTGATCCTGATCAGATGCACACACCACAGGCCTTTCCTCACGTCTGGCTCCCTCACGCCCTGCTCTAGACCCCAGGCCTGGCTCCGGCCCACCCCAGAGGGCGCCACCAGGAAGTTCACTGCTGAGGCCACTGAGGGCCACCACCCCAGGCCCCATCCCATGGAGCCTCAGACAAGCAGTGGAAGCCAGAAGCCACCCAGGGGAAGTGAGAGAACAGTGATCCCTGGCAGGGTGAGGAGTTGGGGACAAGCCCGTGCCCTCAGCTCTGAGGCAGGAGAAGTGACCGACCCAGGGCTGCATGAGGGCGAAGAGGCCCAGGAGCAGGAACACCGTGTGAGTCAACCCCAGGACTTCCCCTCAATCGGGCCCACTGACCTTTACACCTCCCCCTCCCCCAAGCGCCCCCCATCAAAGGGGGACAAAGGCTGCCTTTATCTTTTATAGCACCATCCACAAGAAAGGGAGCAGAGGGCAGGCAGCCAAGGAGGGAGGAGGGAGTTCAACAAGCCGTGGAGTAGCTGAAGCAGACACTTCACATGCTACCTATTAAAACACCGGTCCCTTGGGGGGCGGGCACAGGTAAGAAGTGGGTCCGTCCCCTGTACCACCTCCCAGAGAGACAGGGCAAGAGAGACTGAATGTGAGGGAGACAGTGTGAGACGGAGAGAGAAAGAGAGAGAGACAGAGGACAGATGTGCAGGGACGCGGCTGGCCCCAGGGGCCTGGCCGCCTTGCCCTGCCATCGTCGGCTCACCAACAGCTTCCACGCCCTTTTCCCTCTTCAGCCGAACACCACCCACCAACCTCCGAGTGTCATCTTAACGTTCAAAACGACAGAACGATCTCTGGTGTCAGCAATCGGGACAGCGGCGGCCGCCAGGGGACGTCTCTGCGGTGCTCACCGTCCGTTTCCTCACGGGGGTGGTGGTTACACGGGTGCGTTCCCTTTGTGAATTCATTGAGCTACACACTTAGAATTTGTTTTTTAAAACATTTCAAGCCAGTATTATCAGAACTTAAAGTAATAAAAAAGTCAGGTCTCATTAAAGTAAAAAGCTGAAATTGGTACTTGGCAAATTTCCTCGCTGGATTTCATGGCCTCCTGGACACAGTTGGCAGCATTTTAAATCCTTCAAAATTCTTGTCAACTCGAAAGACACGGATGTGAAGCAACGACGACACCATTCCTGAAAACCCTGCCAAAAATATCTTCTCCATCGCTTCTGGATGTGGGTGATTAATCCTTCAGCGCTGGCAAACTTGACGTCGCTATTTTCTGCTTTGAAATGACAGCCAGCGCCAGGCCCCTGGTTGCCATCTCCACTTCGAATGCCCCCAGTGACATGGGCGCGTTAGTCAGGGCCAGTCAGGGCCGCAGGCTCACAAAGGGCGCCTATCGAAGCACGGGCACAGGATGCGGGGGCAGACATGCAAGGCAAAGCCCTGGGGCCCTACAGGAAGGGCCTCCTGCTGTTCCAGTGCAGGCTCGGCTCAAACCGCCCCCAGTGCTGGGCCCTGTGACGCTGGGGCTGCGGCTCTGGAACTGGCACCCTGCTCAGCCAGTGGCTCCCGCTGGGCATTGCCAACGGGCGGGGGAGACTGGGGCGAGGGGAGGGCCACATCCCAGCAGTGACATCCACACTGTGGTTCTCCCCTCACTCCCCGTACGCCTCATCCCCGACCCCTGCAACACCCGCTTCTCCCAGCTTTAAGTTCCAGCCTCTTCTCTTTGATCCTGCGTGGGCGGGCACTGCGCTGCTGGCAGGGGTCTCCTGCACTGTATCTGTGCTTCCTTTTTCTGTTCTCCCAGTAACAACTGTCTCTATTACCATGAATCGTTTGAGAACATGACTGCCGTGGTCTCTGCTTCGGGTCTGGCCCCAGCCTGCTGCACCTCCTCTTCCCCCACCCCCAGGGGAGCCAGAAACAGGCTGATTCCTGGCCCAGGGGTCAATGCAGACAGATACCCCCCTCCCCCCACATAGCACTGGCTTCTCCCTGGCATCCAGCTTCAACGTGCAGGGCAGGACGGAGCTCCTGTCCCTTAACAGCCTGCACAAAAATTGCAGGGCATGGGGAACAGACCAAGATGCCACGTGGATCCTACTGACTGACAAGAGCACCCTGTATTAGACCCACTGATGGGGCAGACTGCTGGTCCCCATGTCCTCACAGGTGAGAACAGACCCGAAGCTCAAACAGCCTACAGGGCTCCGAGGGGAGGCGGTGCTGTAAGACCTTGGTGGCTGCTCCCCGTGCACAACCCCGCCAGAGTTTGGGTGGAGCCCACGAATGGGACTGTTCTGTGGCACAAGGCGGAGCATTCACGTGAGTCTGGCCTAATCACATGCCCCCTTGGAGGCAGGAGTTTCCCGCTGATGCTGACCACTGACGGGCAGACAGCCAGCGCGGTCTGGATGGGAGGACCCAACGCCCGTCCCTGGCTTCCAAGGCAGCGGTCCCGTGATGCGCCACCCATCTGTGCACATCTGTGTTCCCTGCAGCTGCTATAAAAACATAAACTGCCATTAAAAAAAGAAAAAAGGAAGAATGGACTAGTTCAGCCCGGGACAGGGGAGAGGGGACGGAAGGCCTTTCGACAGAAGCGGGAGCACCGCCTCCACCAACCCTGGCCGCAGCAGGGACCCCCGCACGGCCCTCCTTCCCGGTCCCACGGGTCGGGGCTGGTGCTCCCCACCCCAGCCAGAGTCCTGCCTCTGCTGCGACAGCCCAGAGCCGGCCCCTCCAGCCGCGCCTCCCTCCTGTTCCTGTGAGTCTCCGCACCGCCACTCTCCTCACCCCCTCCTTGGACCCCAGGTGTACCCCCTGAACCCCAACTCCAAGGGCTTGCCGCTGCCCGCGGCAGGAGGCCTGACCCCAGGGCTGCGCATCCCCCCGCCACGCCCAATTCCATGAAGCCTACGCTGTGGCTGCAGAGACTCTGGCCATTCTCTGAACCCTGAACGCTCCGGAACCTGGGTGAGCGCCTCTCAATCCAGGACACCATTCTCAGCCTCCAGGCCTCTGCTCGGACCCTCTACACCTGCACCTGGTGGGGTTTCTGTGGCTCTGAGGCTCCCGGCCAACCATGAGCCCCCCAGGATGAGCCCCCCCATCCCATGTGCCTCTGAATAAAGGCTAGTGGTAGCGAAAGCCCAGCCTCAGGCTCCGGCAGCAAAAGCACTCCCACCCCAGAAGAACTAGGAGCCCCGGCAGGGAAGTCTGCCCCGACTGAGCATGTCACAACTTCATTCCGGCCGCTGAGAAAGGCTGGGCCCACAATGACCACGTCAGCACAACTGAGCTGCTGAGTCAGGAGACTCAGATCTGAGAGCAGCCACTGAGGTTCACAGCCCATCAAAATCGGGGCACTGCTGGGGAGGTCCCTGAGTGAAACACGCTGCCTGTCAATGCTAATCCATGTTCCGCACGTGGCAGACGAAGAAGTGGAGACATTTGAATCTCAGACTGCCTATCGCCAGGGTCAGAGTCCAGGCCTGTGGGATGGCCCAGAAGTGGCTCCAGCTTCCTCCTCCTGCCAGCACATGTGCCCCCGGGGACAGCTCCCCAACACTCCGTGGTCTCCGAGCCACAAAGATGGATGACGGAAACGCAAGGGCGTCATCAGGGTCTTCAGTCCATGCAGGCGCCCATCTTCTGCCCCAGTACTGACCTCAGGCGGCCTTTGCAGGTACAACAGCCCTCATGGGAGGCTGCACGTGTTGGGGACCTGAAGCAGCGCTCCAGTGTCAGCCTCAGCTGGTGACGCAGGCCCCCGTGGCCGCACACCCACCTCCACCACCTCGAGGCTGAATCACCCACCCGTGGTGCTGACGGCGAGGCACACCCAGCTCTGCCATCCCACCCGCCCTCTTCACAGCAGCGGTGGGGAAGTGCTGGAATGTTCCAGTGCAGCCCAGACCCCAGGGGAGTGGTGTATGTTAGGCAGCAGAGGGCCCTGTCCCTCAAGAACGCTGACTACGGATTGTTTTGTAATACTTTTAACCACTTTTACAGGAAATTAGAATTGAGAAAGAAGGGACATGAACGAGCCGTGTGCCTGCTGTCATCCTGGTCAGCCTCAGGGCTGAGTGCCTCCTGTCCCGTCCGCAAG